GAATATTCATCAAAAGGACTGATGCTGAAGCTCCAATACTTTGGCCACCTGATGCAAAAAGCTCATTTGAAAAGACCCTAATGCTGGGAAAGATTGAAAGCAGGAGGAGAAGTTTGGAAGCAGAGGATGAGATGGTTGGATGGCATCACCGACTCGATGCACGTGAGTTTGAGCAAGTTCTGGGAGATGCTAAAGGACAGGGAAGCCTGGCATGCTGCAGTCCATGGGGTCGCAGAGTCAGACACGACTGAGCAACTGAACAACTCCTTGATCAGGCTTCCCAGGTGGCTCAAATGGTAAAGAATCTGCCTGCAATGCAGGAAACCTTGGTTCAACCCCTGGGTTGGGAAGATCCTCTGGCTGCCCACTCCAATGTCTTTGCCTGGACAATTCCATGGACAGAGGAGCCTGGCCAACTTACAAAGGGTCCACTGGGTTGCAAAGAGTTGGATGTGACTCAGCAACTAACACTTCACTTTTTGATCATATCAGGAAGATCCTTGGCAAGTACCTTTCCTCCTCCTCATGAGACAATACTTTATTATCCCTCACTGAATTCATTATTCTGGTACCCAGAGGCAAATTTAACTTCAATATGTGCTGTTAATTTTTCAAATTCTCCTTTCTTTCAAACACTGAACTCCGCATTGGTATGATAAGTTTTAAAAAAGCCAGAAAAACGAAAACAAAACCCCCCAAAACACTGTGTCCTAAATCCACTGGTTTTCTTGTCTTCTTTCTATTTCCTAATTTAAAAAGACTTCACTTTGCTTTCTTCTCCCCTGAAGTGAAGTGGAAGTCTTAGTTCCCCAGCCATGTCCGACTCTCTGAAACCCCATGAACTGTAGCCCACCAGGCTCCTCTGTCCGTGGAATTCTCCAGGCAAGAATACTGGAGTGGGTAGCTATCCCCTTCTCCAGGGGATCATCCCAACCCAAGGATCGAACTCGGGTCTCCGGCACTGCAGGCAGATTCTTTACCATCTGAGCCACCTGGGAAATCCATTCATAAACAGTTATAAGAAAGGATTCTATAGTTAAATAAGTTTGGGAAGTTCGAAAAACAAAGTTAAACAGGGTTCTTTATTATATAACTTTTTAGAAACTTTGATACAATCATTTGAATTGTGAAGGAAGATTTCAGGGTTTTGGATAATATATAGATTTGCATAAGTTACATAAAAGTATAAAACTATTTCTTTAGGAACATCTTAAAGGGGTCAATATTCTACAGGAAGTATTTCAAAAAACATGACTGCCCCTGTTAGAGGAGGAGTGATCACACTGACGTCTGAGAAGTCTGCGGATCTAGATCCAAGATGGCTGCAAATACTACGGCCAATGAGGCGAGCTACATGGCACAGTACTGAATCTATTGCCTTTAAAACTGAAACCTCATACTAGCAGGCATATTATGAATTTAAAATGAGCTCAAACAAAAATTGTTAATGGATTACTTATAGATCTTTCTCTTTATGGGAAAATTATAATTTTGTATGTAGGGAAGAATGAAGTTTCTTTAACGTTGAGGTAGTAAATTACTTGCCCCATGAAAGGAAAAAGTAAATTTAGTTTGTTGTAGTAAGTCAGTAATCACCCAGTAGTTTATCCATCAACCTGGAACTTGAGTTGCTTGATTTCCAAATTGAAAAGAAAGGAAAATACACACAGATATTAAAGGTAAGACAGATGAACAAGCGCTTTTTAAAAGTAATAAAAATACATCACTATGAAATAAAATTCAACAAAAAGGTTTGTTAATACTTTATTAGTATTTTCTAATGGACAAAACATAATGCAAACCAAATAAAATTTTAAGTCTTTTTAGTTCAATAAAAATAACTGACATTCTGATTGCTATTTCTTCTTTGTTAAAGAAGTATTGATAGAATAGTTAGGCACACAGTTGACACTTATTGTACAATGATATGCACAAGTTATCTTTAAACAACTGTAATCCTAAAATGTGCTCTTTATATTTTTCCCTTGTAATACAGGAGCCATGCTCCTATAAGCAAAATTTACTAATAACAAAATAATTTTACAAGGAGTGACAAAACGACTTTTAAAACAAGTCCTTAAATAAAAGGATGCAGCAACAACGGAATGTAAGTTGTTGGGTTAAGAAGACAGTTTAACTAGATCTCAAAACATTAAAAATTCATTTATTTTACAATTACTCAAATACACATGCATTAAATGAAAATATTGCACAAATTAAAATTTTAGATTGTGAAATTTTATATTGTTCTTAATTTTTTAAAAATTGGTACACATTCTAGTAGCGCTTAACTGTTTTTTTTCCAAACACCCGCAGCACAAACTTACAATGAAGGAACTACTATATTCAAGAAAGTTTTAAATGTTTCTTAAAATAAAAATTAAGGCTAACCAAGTGCATCCATTGGTCAATGGCACAATTGTTTTCAGCAACTATTCAGAAAACCCTAATCACAGGAAATGCCCATCTAAATATTATATTTAAATCATACAATCAATTTTTTAGAGGAATGAACTGTAAGTTAGTAGTGATGGTTTCTAAATAGTTTGTTACCTGAAAAATCAGAAAAACTCAAATAATGATTAATTTTGAAGGTTCTTGCCTAAAGGCACCACTGACTTAAAAACACATTCAAAAATCAAATATCAGAAGACATAAAGCCTCTTCCTGTATATATTCATATATGCAATAAATGCATTAAATGTAGTAACTTTATTAAACATAGTACACTGTACTTGACTTATGGGTTAAATATTTTACGCACAGCTCAACCAAATCACTCAAAAAGTATCTCTAATTTTAGCATGACCATGGCTTTCTCTGATGCAAAACATAGATGTGCAAAGAGAAGATGCACAACCATTTACATAGACTACCATTTGACATTTCTGCTTTTGAAATATAAACTCTTTTAAACAAAAATTATTTTAAAAACCCATTTACTCTAATAGTTTTTGGTATGACTGCAGTTATCTTGCAGGGCTTCATGAAAATTTGCAATCCTGCATGACCTTTTTTCCCTGGTTGATGGACAGCGTTCCTCACATTATCTAGAAATGCTTTTTCACATGTACACAGTAGACTCTTAACATGAATTCTGTTTACTCTTAATATTTACTTATGTCAAAAATATACTGGAAATGGGCAGGGGTGTATCTGAAAATCATTGCACTTACGGCCATGCTGATGCTTCCTACAGACATGTTTCACATGTTTCTTCTAAAGCCTGGGGCAGGAAGATACATTGAGAAGAAATATCATTTCTTCCACCAGAGTCAATAAAGATCTTTTCTCATTTGGAAGTTTAAATGAAAGGGATTTAATGTATGTAATCCTGAAGACATGCAACACAGGCTGAATATATGCAAACTGTAAGTATGCATAACAGCATTATTAATAAATATGATTATTATCATAAAGCTTTAAAGGAAGGCTTTATTCTATCAGGCTTTGCTTCGTAAGTAGGATCTCAGCAAGAACAAGACAATAACATCTTGTTCCAATCTTAAAACTCCCAAACAACTGGGATACCAATACTCTGTCCCTTTATCTTAAGCACCCGGAAGTTCTTTTAACACCAGCATCTTGGCTCAGTGGTCTGATAAATAGCTTCACTATTATAAGGTTTTAGTGTTAAATATTTTTAAAACAAAAAACGCTGAGATACCCAAACACTTAGCCAGTGGAAGTTAAACTATGCAGAAATCCTGCATATAAAACATATGAAGACTTCCAAGATGGACAAATGGGAGACTGAAAAAAATATAGGAAACGCAGAAGCTCCAAAACCGGAAAAGGTATTTTGTTGGTATAAAATTATTTTAGGGACTTAAATGTATACACCGAGGGGTTTTGCCAACTTGCTTTATTTAGTAGAATTTTACATTATGCAAAATATAAATAAAAGCATATTTTAAAAAATATTATAGTTCTGTTTTCATTATTTATTTTCATATATGTACACTGTAATAGAGTTAGGAATTTGTACGTTTACATATGACTTATAAGCTCATTTAATCCTTTGATTTGCTATTTTTGCAATCACCTAACGTATGTCTAGATCACACAATTTAAAATTATCATAGAGTAACTTTCAACAGAGTACTTTTTATTTTTTAAATTTCTGTATTTTAAGAAGTATTTGGCAGTTCTTTCAACAAATTCTAGCCCCTATTATATAATCAATAATCTCTTAAAGAAAGTTGTAATAACTTCAAAACTTAAGAGCCACCATATGCTTCTTTTTGCACACAGAATGCCAAAATAAAACTTAATTATGAGTACCATAAGAGCAAAACAGAGCCCTTAAGACATAGAAGAATTACTTAAAATCTGTTTTCTGCCAATGAATAACAAATCCAATCGAACTTTGGTTGTGATTGGTTTTATTTTACACTAGGTTTCTATGTCATGAAAACAAAAGTGTAATTTGGATACATGTCACTTCATACTTTAAGGGCATTCTGTCATTTTCCCTAGACCTGAAACAGATGTTTCAAAGATCATTCACCTGGCTAATCTACACTATATCAAAATTCCGACAAAGATATACAAAACCATTATGCAAAACAAACCCCTCCAAACAGTACATTGCACAGTTTCCCACTGTTAAACAAATTAGCCAATTTATCTGTGAACCATTGTTTTGTGCTTTCCTTAGCTCTTATATATACACTCTGGCACTTTGTCATAGATGGAGAATGCTGATTACTTTGAAACGGAAGAAACCAACGTCATTCTTGCTTGAGCTGTAGGCAGTATCCTCTCAGTGTTGCAAAAATATGCACCAAATCATTTAAGACACAGAAATCTCTCTTGGTACAAGTGGCTGGATTACAGACAATGATGAGAAGAATGGCAGTCATATGGATGTATTAATAATCTATTCTGAGACACTAAAAGACTGGTGCAGACACAACAGTATATGAGTTAAGCCCCAGAAGATCCGTCCATACCATTAGTCCTGGACAAAATGAACACCAGTTTCAGAGATTGGAGTGTCACCTTTTCTGTAAAGAAGGCGCTTGAGTAGTTTGAAGTTTCTGTTTATATTTTTGCATCTGCTTTGACCGTGAATGCAGTTTGTTGAAAAGTTCACGGAATTTATACTGTGGAAATAAGGTTTCCAAAAAGCCTTCCAAAAAGACATAAACCATTCTCCTATTTAACTGGTTGTGCTGAAACATTTCAAAAACACGAAGAATACCTTTCCGAGTTGTCTCAGCTCCAATAATGTGCTTCAGTTCATCTAAATAAGGGGAGGAGAAATAAACACAATTCATTATTCAAAAGAAGTACAAGACCAAACGTATTCCAAGTTAAAACATGTAAAGTACACATGTGAGTAACTGATAAATAGCCAGTATTCAGTGAATGACCTTAATATAAGTTTAATAACTGACTTAAAACTTATATACGTGACAAGTATGCATGCACTTGTGTGGTATTGGGAGACAACACAACAATAGAGAAAGCAGGACCCAGACTCAGAAACCCAAAATTAAGTGTTATAATCTTGTCGCTTAATGTCACTCAGCTGTGTCCGACTCTTCATGACCCCATGGACAGTAGACCACCAGGCTGCTCTGTCTGTGGGATTTTCCAGGCAAGAATACTTGAGTGGGTTGCCATTTCCACCTCTATGGGATATTATTGATACATGGATGGAACCCACGTCTCCTGCGTCTCCTGCATTGGCAGGCGGATTATTTACCACTGTCCCTTAATTATTAATTATTCCCTTAATTATTAAGCCCTGTCCCTTAATACCTATATAACTCACCCACCCTGAGTTTCTTTCCTCATCTGTAAAACGGGAATTTATAATAACCAATATCATTATTATTGTGAGAATTTAAAAGCTTTGATGAGATAAAGTGAAAAGTGATCTATAAACTCTAAACACTATACAAATATTCTCCATCTAATGCACAATGAGAAATACTACAAAGAAATGTGGAAACTTGATCTCTGATTTAAAAAAACTCACAACACACTAACAGTGCATTAGCAGGATCTGATTGGTACAAACAGATAAAGGATTTAAGAACATGAATAAGGAAATGAGCATTAAGTGGGGAAAACAAACAAACAAACAAGACAGGCTCAAGAAATGGGGTAGTAGGGTTTGGCTCAATTTTAGGATTCCTGTAAGAGAAAGTCGTGAAAAGAATGGAAAACTGACAGTGCTGCAACTGGCAGGGTAAGCACATTTGGAGTTTACTCACAGGCAACACGAAGTTTACCAGAGACACTTGAGTATGGGCACCCAAAACAATTCTTTATTGCTTTCAAAAGAAACATGCAACTCCTAAAAAGTATGTTTCTAACTAGGGTACAATATAATTTTAAGCAATTAGTTTTTAAATTCACTAAAAAACAGGTGAAGAATTCTGTGTATATAAAAATACCTACTTTTATATCTTTCCTCACTTTCTTCAAGTCTTCATGTTAACTGTCATCCACTCACAACTGCAACTCACCTGCCACTTCCATTTTCCTGCACTGTCTGTCTCCTCAGCTCCTTAGCACTATCCAATATACTGTGCTTCATCTATTTCTTTTGTATGTCAACTGTGTCCCCCTAGTAGAATGTAAACTCTAAAGAGGCAAAGATCAGTGTAAAGAATAGAGTCTGGCTCATGAAATGCTCTCAATAAATATTTATTGTATAATTGCATTAAGATTTCTTTCTACTCTATAACTAAAGCACCATCTGGTTTATTCTAAAAGTATATTAATATCCTAGGCTACTGTTTCTCTTTTATTTTTCTAAAATGTTATTTCTATAACTTGCTTTATATCTCCAAATGCAACAGTATAGTCTATAGGGTGAAATAAATATCCATGTGGCAAACATCCAATTTAATGGAAAGAAGAGAAAGTTGATTAAAATCTATAATGAAAATTAGATTTAAAGAAAACCAAAATTATAGGAAAAGGAATAGATATTGAGAACTTAAAATATTTTTGTATTCCCTACATCCATAATTAAAACGTGGAGAAGAGATATCTAGGTATTTTTAAAGACATTTATTACCATAGGAGAAATCAACCACCCAACCAAACAAAACTTCTCTTACTGAGAGACGACAAATGGACAAAGTAAATATCTAAGTTAGTGAGACAGCAGAGTTCTAAAATAATTCAAATTACACCAAAAGAATGCCACTATGTATACTTTTTTTAGGATCACATTTTGGCAGAGATTAAGCATGGACCAATCAGCTGTTTCAAAGGGATTCTTTGAAAAAATGTTTGTTCTCCTAAATAGAACAAATATTCTTTCTGAAAACCTCATACTTCATTATACCTTATTATTAGCCCTTTCATCTGTCATGGGCTTCCCTGATAGCTCCGTTGGTAAAGAATCTGCCTGCAAGTCAGGAGACCCTTGTTTGATTCCTGGGTTGCGGAGATCCCCTGGAGAAGGGAGAGGCTACCCACTCCCGTAATTCTTGGGCTTCCCTTGTGGCTTAGCTGGTAAAGAATTCGCCTGCAATGCAGGGGAGCTGGGTTTGATCCCTGGGTTGGGGACATCTCCTGGAGAATGGAAAGGCTACCCATTCCAGTGTTCTGGCCTGGAGAATTCCAGGGACTGTATAGTCTACAGGGTCACAAAGAATCAGACACAACTGAGTGACTTTCACTTTCATCTGTCACAGATTTTATCACCAACTTTATTCTTAAAATGTTTCAAGACAGCAAAGTAAAGTGGTTAAAAGTATAATTTTTATTGAATACAGTGGTTTCAAGGAACTCAAAGCTAAGTCAGAGTTCCAATACTCACTCCTAAAACCTCGGTGTGTATGTTTTAGTTGCTCAGCCGTGTCTAACTCTTTGTGACCCTGTGAACTGTAGCCCACCAGGCTCCTCTGTCTATGGAATTCTCCAGGCAAGAATACTGGAGTAGGTGGCCACTGCCTTCTCCAAGGGATCTGCCCGATCCAGGGATCGAACCCCAGTCTCCTGCATTGCAGGCAGATTCTTTACCATCTATTTGGTATTTACACTTAACCCCTTTGAGCTGATTTTTTCCCTCATATTTAAAGCTGTGATGTTAACAGCTTCCTATCTTTATAATATTGTGTGTGTATGTGTGTGTGTTAGTTGCCTAGTCGTGTCTGACTCTCTGCAACCCCATAGACCGCAGCACAGCAGGCCCCTCTGTCCATGGGATTCTCCAGGCAAGAACACTGGAATAGGTTGCCATTTCCTTCTCCAAAAGGAACTATAGAAAGAAAGAAAGTGAAGTCACTCAGTTGTGTCTGACTCTTTGCAACCCCATGAACTCTAGCCTACCAGGTTCCTCCATCCATGGAATTTTCCAGGCAAGACTACTGGAGTGGGTTGCCATTTTCTTCTACAATATTGTTATTAGGATTAGTTAAACATATATAAGAAATGACTAGCACAATGCCTCCTAGTATATAAGCCATCAAATGGTAAATTATTACAGTCAAAAGGCAGCTAAATTTGGCATGCTCAATGCATGCCATAAATTCGGAAGTACAAATTGAGATTTACGCTAAAAATGTTCACTTACCTGGCATAATTGAAAGTAATTTAGTTTTTCCTGCAACTCTTGTTCTCATTCGAATACCTTTATCTCTGCACGGGACAGTCTCGGCTAAAATGCCATTTGGCCAAAAGGCATCTCTATTTAAGAAGATTAAATAAATTTTGTAAACATTTTCATTTTCTAATGATATAAGCTGGTAAAATTATTCCAATTTTCTACAGAAAACACAAATGCAAACAGAAAAAGGAAACATTTCTGAAATCCTATATAGCTGTGATATTCAACAGATAGTAACTAGGTGCAGGGTATAATTTTATGTGTAAAAGGATATACACAAGAAAAAAATAACAAAAGTATGCCCTGGAGTAACTGCACCCACATCTTATAGCTGTGTTGATTACAACAACACACCTATATAATCTATTAATCCATATAACTCACCTATATAATCCATTCTTTTTTACTTTACAGTGTGCTGATTACTGTTCTCCAGTTCTTCAAGCCAAAGAGAGGAATTAAAGCACAATAACTAAGCTTCTACCTGGGGATCTGGTCTCAGAGAGAGTTTGTGCAGAACAGTTCTTAACTGACTGCACATGAGGAACACCTGGGAGCTTTAAACACTCAATGTCCAGGCCTTCCACCAGATGCATTAAGTCACACTCTTTGCAAATAGGACCTAAGGATCAGTGCTTTTTAAAGCTGTTCAAGTGATTCCAAAGTGCAAGGCAAGGTTGAGAATCAGTGCTCCAGAGGAACATTTACCCACCCTGAAACAGAAAGAACATGCCTGGGAAGGCAGTCCAGCTTTTAGAAACAATATGGTACAGTGATGAGAAACTCAACTTCAGATTAGAGAAATTTGTTTCCCCAACTTTCTAGCACGTGAGCCTTTGGGCAAGCTGCTGAACTTCCCAAATTCTCAGTTTCCTTGTAACAAAATGGAAACCAAAATCCCTATCTCGTAAAGGAGGATAAAATCAGAAAGTGGCCATAGTAAAGTAGTTGGACAGTGCCAAATAAATATTGTACAATATCAATAGTTGCCTTCTTGTTTCTGTTACTTCAAAGGACATGATGCCAGGTATATTTGTGTTCTGCTTATCTCTCACTGTTAGAAAAGATGTATATTTCTCTGCCGTGCCATGAATTCCTTGAAGGGATTGAATATTACCTCTCAGTTCCCAGTTAAGAGGGCTAGACACAGAGATGGGGCTGAGAATATTCTTGGAGAATCGACATATGAACTGGAGTATCACTGCCCTTAATTTGAACCTTTTCAGAGGTTCTAAATAAAAGAGTCTAAATAAAAATAAAATAAATAAAAATTTAGACCATGATCAGAGACAAATTTCTAAAATATCTCACTTAAAATCAAAGTTAGCAAATACAACTGAGAAAAATTAATCTCCAAAACTAGGTAATCTGATTATATGACCATGCCATGTCTATACTAATATTTCAATTATTTTAAAGCCACATTACTGTGATAAAATGTAGCCTAAGATCTAAAAGCTTTTTCATTTACAATTTTTTTCTATTCTGGTTCTAAAGAAAACAAAGATTAATAGGTCCAAGGGATAAGTGTTTATTATAATTTTTACAAGTCTTTTTGCTCATCAGTGATGACTAAAACCAATGTTATGGCCAGAAAGAAAAGGAACGTGATAAAAGTTAGTGATAACAATGCTCAACTCTGTGCTACCTGCAGGAAGTGACTGTGTCTTAAGCTATACCTGAAACGTTTCACTAAGTCGGCTACTTGCTCCGGTGAGGTCATCCAATCAACATGGTCAACTATTTTTCTGAAAGTAAAGAAATTCAAATGAGTAAGGTCAAGATTTTAGAAGGTGAATCAAATAAAGAAACATTACTTCTTTCATGGAGTAAGCAACTTAATTTGTGTGTAGATTATCTCTGAGAGCAATAGAATGCTTCAATAACCTTTTTCAAAGGCCCACAGAAAGAAATTCTGCTACAAAAGTTTGGGTAATCTACTTCTAAAAGTAAAACTTTAAAAACTAAGTAAGATCAAAAGTAGTTTTTTGTTTTTTAAAAGTGGTACCTATTAATAGTATCACCATATGTAGCTCTTATAAGTTGTTGAAGTAGGTTTTTGATATTCCTTCGCAACCACTGATTTCTCTCTTTTAAGTCGAACACTTCATCCATGAGAAGCAGCATTACCCTAAGAGGAATATTATCATCCACCTGAGAAAACAATGGGAAGAAATAAGATACATTTATTTGAGTTATCTATCTCTTGTGAATGGCTAATTTTGTTGCTTTTACCAAATGATTACTACTATTTACAGGCTGGAGAACAAGTTATACTATAGCCTTTAAAACTGACTTTTTTTTCTAATTTAGCAAAAAAATACTTTTAACATCTGTTTTGACAGAAAACAGAATTTGACAAATCTACAATGATGAGTAAACTCCAAAGCTGCACTGAAAAAACTTCTCAAAGTGGATTCATGATGACCTTAGGATTTGGGATCTTTTAGTAGACTCTCTGTTAGTTTACAATACATGCTAGCTAGTGCCTCTGCCCATTCTCTGGAGCAGCTTTTTCAAAAGGACAAGATATTCTCAACATTTCTTTTTATTCAATGGAACAAAATAAAATCTATACAGCACATTTTGCTTTGCTTGGTTAGTGAGTTGTATATATTAGGTATTCTCACAATAAAGAACCTGAAATAAAATCCAGTACACAGCTAACATTACAAAAGGCGGCTAAATTACTAGAATTTTCTTTTAATTTTTAACAAGTAAAAATTTGTACACTTTCATCATTGGCATATTCAATTAAAGATATAAAAAGTAAAGAAAGACAATGAGAATGCTTTGATGTGGAAATATATAGATAAAACAAGAAAGATGCAGATCTAAAACTGTAACAAAACTGCATAATTGCTAGTAATTGTATAATTCTTTGATCACTAAGCTACTCTTTTCTATTTCCTCATCAATGTTGTAATTTGAATACTGAGAAAACAGCATGAGTCATTCATTTTTCACTGTGTTGTAAACATTTTTTTTTTCATTTATTTTTATTAGTCGGAGGCTAGTTACTCTACAATATTGCAGTGGTTTTGCCATACACTGACATGAATCAGCCATGGATTTACATGTGTTCCCCATCCCGGTCCCCCTCTCCCCTCCCTCCCCATCCCATCCCTCTGGGTCTCGCCAGTGCACCAGCCCTGAGCACTTGTCTCATGCATCAAGTGTGCCTTCTCTTTACATATCAAAAGTTCATGGTTTATCCACTCTCAATACTGCTTTATTCTCTGATCAAGTATATTCATGAGTTTAGTGCCACATAACAATTCTAATAAATTATAAACACTTAATAAAAGGTATAATGTTATGATATTGTAACAGTACAACACATAATAAAGATTGTAAAGAAATCCAATGAGAAACTGAAGGGTGATAATTATAACTTTAAAATAAATCTGCATAATAGGACAGAATATAAAGCATAGACTCAAATACATAAAATAATCTAACTTGTAACAAGGGAGAAACACACACTGGGAAAGCAGGCCTTCTCAGTGAATAGTGCTTAGGTTAGCTCGACTCCTACATCATTCCAATCAATTCTAGATGAATGGCAAACCTAAATTTTGGCATGGTAAAGAAAAATGATGCTTGAAGAAAAGCACAGGACTCTGGGAGAAGGCGAGGGTGGGATGTTTCAAGAGAACAGCATTGAAACACGTATATTATCTAGGGTGAAACAGATCACCAGCCCAGGTTGGGTGCATGAGACAAGTGCTCGGGCCTGGTGCACTGGGAAGACCCAGAGAGATAGGGCGGAGAGGGAGGTGGCAGGGGGACCGGGATGGGGAATACATGTAAATCCATGGCTAATTCATTTCAATGTATGACAAAAACCACTGCAATGATGTAAAGTAATTAGCCTCCAACTAATAAAAATAAATGAAAAAAAAAAGAAAAGCACAGGAGAACATCTATGTGACCGTGCAGTAGACACAGATTATACACAGAGAATAAAAGCACACAAAGTGGAAGATATTTACAATAAACAAACACTTGTATCTGACAATAACCGATACTCAGATTATACAACATACTCTTAGTAATCAAAGACAAAGACAGACAGCCAAGCCAACAGAAAAATGGGGAAAGGACTAGACATATAAGACAGGACACTCAAGTGGACAACAGACTTACGAAAAGAGGTTCACAATCTTAACAGTCATCAGAGAAACGTAAATCCATATGAGATATGACAACCAGAATGGCTAAAATTCAAAAGGCGTAACATAAACATATTGAATTTTGGCAGGCTGTGAACCACTGAAATTCTCATGCATTGCTGATGGTAATGTAAGTGGTAAAACAGTGTGGAAAACTACTTGAGAGTATCTATTAAAACTGAATATATTCATAACCTCTGACCAAGCAATTCCATTTCTGAGTAGAGAGAGAAATGTGTACATATTTATTTAATCAAAAGATATGTACCCAAATGTTTATAGGAGTACTGTTCATAACATAGCAAATAAATTGTATTATATTTACAAAATGTGGTACTTTAAGGCCACAAGAATGAAGAAACCACAATCACACAGAACAAAATGGAAGACTACCACAATGTTGAACCAAAAGCCAACCGAAAGGAGTACACACCTTACAGTTCCATCTACGGAAAGCATAAAAGCAGGGCAGAAGTAGGATAGTGGCTACCCTTGGCAGGGGGAGGACAGTGCCAGGAGGAGAGCATCAGGGGCTCTCTGGGGTACTGGCAGCCTTCTGCTTCTTGTTTATAGTGCTGGTTGCCGGGTATGTTCAGTTGGTAAGAATTAATCAAACTTAATGTTTAAATATGAGTACATTAATGACATATACATATTATACTTCATTAGAAAGTTAGAAAGATCTGCAGAGTATGATTGGAATTCCAATTGACTGCTACCAAAACAAAAATTAACTCACAGTATCATCAAGTTGAGCTGAAACTCGACAATGTTCAGGATCTGAATCAGTCTTCGGAATTAAAGGAGGAACCTAGTATTAAAAAAAAAAGAAGAACAAAGTAAACACACTAACGCAGAAAATAAAAGAACACAAGATAATAAAGTGAAATGAGTGTCAAATATAATAAAGAGCACTAGATTTGATTCTGGGGACAATATATAAACAAAATTTATAGAGCATTAACAAGGTATTAACAATCCAAAATTAAAGACCAAATATAAAAGAGTAATTATTTCATCATCAACAGATTTTTTTCCTTAAAAAAAAAAAAGGATTCATTTTGAGTTGGAAGGAGATAACTCATTCAAACCTCCACACTTTTTAGAATTTAAAGCTAAGAAACATTAAATGATTTCAAGACAAAAGTGAATAGCACAGTCAGAGAACAGAACTACAATCTTTTTTCTTCTATCATAAAGAGCCTTGCAGTATGTTAACAGGATGAAAGAAACTAATTAAGTAATTGTCACATAATGTAAGTTATTGAGAAAAGGGACAGAAAGACCAGTGCCAGCTGGTAATCATTTCTCAGTATAGGAAGGACCACCAAGATCACCTGTTATAACCCCTGCACATTACTGGTCAAGAAAAAGAAGTCTGCAATAGTTCAGTGACTTCTGTACGAAGTCATATGGGTAGTTACCGGCAGAAGCAGCACCAGACAACCCTCACTTCAGTGTTGGGGCACTGCCCCACGATTAGAAATTCAGATGGAGCATCAGAGAAGACATGAGAGTTGATGGCAGAGTATGATTTACACACACTATATTTTAGGAATTGTCTCTTACAATAAATTCTGTGTTTGTATATATTTCCTCTTCATTGAAACATGATCTAACAAATAGAAAGTTCTAATACCTACATCATTTCTTTCATAGTCTTGATTACAACTTTAAACAACTAGGTTGAAATTATTTTTAAAAATGTACATTAGGAAGCAAAAAACTACTTGATTCACCAGTATCTACTACTAGCGTAATGAAAATGCTTCCAAGCAAACTCCTCTGTTCCTCTCACAGGTATCTACACACTAAGGACTAATGATGCTGAAAGACTCTTCATCCCTTTCATCTCATGAATCTTAATCGTGTGACTCAGGAGAAATTTTATGTTTGCTGATGAATACTAGTATGATTTACACAATAGCACGTACCTGTTTTGCTATAAATTTTAACATTATAGAATGAATATGGTATAACAGAATAAGACAGTACAAAGAATGTTAATTTCACTAACTTTAAATGTGCTTTAAATGAATTTTTAAATTGTATTGCAGTAGAGACGGAGAAGTGAGCGTATTTTACAGTATCCACTTCTGATAATTAATTCTCTTTAGCTTTTTAATTCTTTATGAGACTATGTGTCTAGAGAGCTTTGGACTTACAAAGAGAAATAAGGTAAACCTAAGCAGGAGCTCAGTAAATCTTAGTTGACCTAAAAATCATTTCTTTCAGACATTACAGAAAACATCTTCTTACCTTGAAAAATGATTGCCTTATATCTTGACCTAATCTTTCTGACATTTTGCCCATGTTGTCTGACATTTTAGTCATTCCCTCCGCCAAGCTATCAGGAAGGGATTTGACTGCATTTGAAACATTCCTCATAGAATTTCGAAGTGGATTTACAAATGTGTCCATCTAAAGGGAAAAAGATATTATATCATGACTTCACTCTATCAGGTTTATTATTCAACTCAGAAGCCTCAGAAAACCAAGTGCAACACACGAAAGGTGTAATAACTTTCCAGTCTATAATAACTCTTTGCCTTTTAAAAGTACCGCACTGTTGTCCTCAGTGTCTTTAAAATGTATTTTCAGACACAAATATACAAGTGATATATTTACTGGAAGAAAATGAATATAAACCTTGGGTTGCCTTCTTACTAAGAAAAGCCTTGAAAAAATGAAGAGTTTTCCCAAACAGAAACTTAACCAAGTATAAACAGCCACAACATACTTCTGCCATGATTCAAGGCAACAATCACATAGATATTCTGAGCAATACTGAAAAGTAAATGAGCAGATACAATAAACAGAAAGCTCAAATAACTAAGATTTATTTAACAAAGTAATTTTTAGGATAAGTTTCACGCTCAATTAGAATCTATGGAAGGAATCTGGAATCTATTAGGAAAAAGAGAAGCTGCAAATCAGACATGCAAGCCATATTTTACTAAGGCAGAATAGAAAAACCATAAAGAAAATATGCTAAGAGATATATAAAGAAATAATCTCAGAGGGATAGGAAGCTTTAAAATTGACATTCTGACTGTAATAGATGCTAATAGTTTCAATTAAGAAAGGGAGAGCCATCTAATAAAGAACCCAAGTAGATGCATATGGATCTTGATTTTTAACAGATAAAAACAAACAAAACAAATGAAAGAAATAGAGAAGGCGGGAGGGAGAGGAGGAGGAAAGGAAGGAAAAGAGAAAATAAAAACCAGACACAAAACCAAAGTCAAACAATACTAAGAACATTTTCCATAAAGTGTTGAATCTTATAAAAACTACCACAGAAACAAATTATGTTCCATGCAAGAAGAAAAAAACACAATAGCAATCATAGCAAAAAACACTGAACCCCACTGTTTAAGAAACATGTTAATAGATATTAATAAAATTATTTAATATGCTTTCATGATTTCGAACAAGAAAACCAGAAAAGGTGAAATAGGTACTGTAATAAACAATAACAACAAAAAGTGAATTTCAAGATAACTGTAAAAGTTTTAATAATTCCTTGGCTTAAGCAGGGACAACAGTCTTACAGATATGCTTGCTGGAAAATACAACCTTTAGGAGGGACACTGTCACAGTACCACAAATTCACAGTAGAACCAAAGGTGAGAAATGAGGAAGAAAGGCTTGAAAACCGCTACCACTGATGAAGAGATACAGAGATTAAAAAGGATAAAAAGAAGAAGTTAACCATTGTGTATAAAATTATATATACATATACATATTTGGGTGTAAAACTATAATATATGTGTGTAATTCTAATTCTATATACAATAGTAATTTTCAGTTAACCAGAATACTGTGTTCAAATTAGTCAGGACATTACTTCTATACTGACACTACTGCCACGTGTTTTAGAACACAAGAATTCTTAAGAGAGATAAACATGAGAATACCACACTTAAAATGTACAGCTTTAGGAAAAATGGCCACCATTCTACTAAGTTTTAATGTTCACAGATAAGGTAGAATTTCAGAAGCATAAAAGGCATGAATTTCACTTGAATCTATAACTTACATTAAAAATTGTTTGAACACCATTAAAAGTGTTTTAGAATTTTATATATTTTACACTTCACAGTGGAAACATGGGTTCAGCTAATACAATCTTAAGTTGGTTAAATGAATACAACCTCAATTGCTATCCAGGCATGAGGCTATGTTATGCTAATTCGCTTCAGTCATGTCCGACTCTTTGTGACCCCATGGACAGTAGCCCACTAGGCTTCTCTGTCCATAGAATTCTCCAGGCAAGAATACTGGAGTGGGTTGCCATGCTCTCCTTCAGGGGATCTTCCCCCACCGGGGATCGAATCCACATTTCTTATGCCTGGTACATTGGCAGGCAGGTTCTTTACCACTAGCGCCTCCTGGGAAGCCCAGGCATGAGACTAACTACCACTAATACTCTTTCAAAATAAGAGAACTTAAATCTATACCATGAGTTACATAATAATTAAAGATAGTTGTCTGAACACCAATCCTAGACCTTCAGAATCCATTTCCCTTTTCGTTCCTGTTTTTTCACCCTCCAATTTCTGAGGGTAAAGCTTAAACATCTGTATTGGTGGTGGAGAATGGAGGGAGCAAAGGAGCATGGAAAAACCTCTACACATGATTATGTCTCTCAACCCTGAAGAAAGTAGAATTTTAGAAGCATAAAATCAGTCTATCACAAGATAACATTTCCAGAAGCAAGATTTGTCTAAAAACAGATGTTTAAAGCAAAAAAAAAAAAAAATAGACAATTGCAAATTACCAAGCAGACGAGTAAATTATTGACTGCCTGCAAAAGTGTACGCTTAAGACAGACTTAAATAGATGTTAGCTATTCATTCAATTGTCACCTCAGTTATTTGTATCAGTTAAAAATGCAAACAAGGGAATTTTAATTTAAATTTTGGCCCCTACTTACAGCTTAAAAATGCCATCACACTATGATAAAAAAAAAAAAAACTGGAAAGATACTGTGTGCATAGAGGAAGACTACTTGTCTATGACTCCTTCTAGGAACTAGGCCCATAAATTTTGCAAAGCTAGGCAAATTGTGTGACCAAGATAATGTGTTATAAAGTATTATTTCTCAAGCTCTGATTAGCCACTGATAAAATGTTTGTAGATTATTTTCTCTTATAGCGATTTAATTTCCAGTCAAATATAATTAAGGAAAATATTAAACTATAATTTATCCAAAAAGGAAATGTAGCTGAAAACTCTTCTTGATATTCATGAAAATTATCCCGATAATCTGAAAGCGGTCAAGATGAACTTAGTAATTATTAATATGATTACTGATCATATTAATTATGAACATGTATGTTACTCTGGATTCCCAGAAGTGACTCAAAAGGATTTTTAGACTCTAGTAGTAATTTTTTTAAAAGAGTGACATGTAACTATTTGGAGATAAACACATACATACAAACACATACACACGCTACTGTAGGGTGGTAAAAAAGAAATTGCCTATGTGTAATATAATGCTCAAACCAGTCAATCCTGGAGGAAATCAACCCTGAATATCACTGGAAGGACCGATGCTGAAGCCAAAGCTCCAATACTTTGGCCACCTGATGAGAAGAACTGACTGACTGGAAAAGACCCTGATGCTAGGAAACGTTGAGGGCAGGAGGAAAAAAAGGGCTACAGAGAATGAAATGGTTGAATGGTATCATTGACTCAATGGACATGAGTTTGAGCAAATTCCGGGAGATAGTGAGAGACAGGGAAGCTTGGCATGCTGCAGTCCACGGAGCCACAGGGTTGGACAAAACTTAGTGACTAAACAATATAATGCTTCTTTTATCTCAAAAGGCTATTATTAATTTATAATTTATCTCAAATAGATGCAATCTTAAGAGATAAACTAAGGCAAACATAAAAAAGATGGAATATTGACATGCATCTCTATTGACAATAAAGCCATTTTAGAGCTGGAATTAAAACTCAATCACTTCAATCATGAAATACAAAGATAAGGTCACCATATTTTCCCCCCACCATTATAAACTACATAACCTAGAATTTCTTACTAAAATAAAACATTCCATTTAGAAATGCTAACATTCACTTGGATATTAAACCATGGTATCCTTGAGAGATCATCTGAAGTTCTTACAGTGGTTAATTCTCACTTAGTTGTACCAATTCCTTAATCTTTTTTAAACAAGTTAGTCTTTTTATAGGGGATGAGAGGTGGGGAAGTCTTTTAATTTTCATTTTGAAAAAACTTCAGACTTTTAAAAAGTTGCAAAAATAATAAACAGAAATCCTACTTACAGTTTCCCCAACTAATGCTGCAGCTCCTGTTACTATTGTTACTACTTCTAAGAGCCAACACTGATTCAGACAGGCACTGTCATATATAGATTATTTCATTTGATTCACACATGCTCTAAATTGAGGATTAACACCTTCAATCTTGGGGAAACTAAAGGCCCAGAGGCCAAGTAACATTTTTCAGGCCACAACTAATAAATGGCAGAACAGGAATTTGAACCAGAGGCTGCCTGATTCCACTGTTTGCCTTCTCACCCAGTGAGCTTTCTCACCCAACTTGACCAATTTATTACTCAACCCAATTTACTGTCTTAACCTAGCATATCATTTCCAGAATATGCCTGTGTCCTTATAAATTTAAATAATAACTATTTCACTCAAAAGGCATAAATACTTTCAGGGACAGAGTCTACTTAACGTTTTTACTATCCTTACTCCAATTAAAAGACATTTCCTCCCAATAAGAAGTATTAACAGCTCCTTCTTAAACTAATGAAAGCCTGTGGCTTGTCTTAGGCCAACTTTCCTTAAAGCATCATTTCAGAAACAAAGCTTTTTTTTGCCCTCCCCTTTCCAGCTACTGCTGTATTTTAGCCTACATGTAAATACAGGAGTTTATTAGATATGCCTAGATATAGTAGGTTTGATAAAGCATCAGCTCAGTCACTCAGACGTGTCTGCTTCTTTGATAAAGCAAAGACGCCAAAGAACATTTAATAAAATTTCTACTTTTAAAACATACACATAAGTATATATCATCTTCTTTTACTGAGAACAAAGGAAGAAACCAGACCCATGAGGAAAGCCAGCGCGATGGTCTGCTCACCTTGCGAGCGAAGTCGCCCTTCCCTTTGCTGTAGGCTTTGTTCTCAAGGAAATCACACACACAGTGAGCCAGGGCTGGGGACGCCTTCATCATTTCAGGAGTCAGCAGTAACTAACAGGAAAAAGAAGAGGCAGCTTATACTGAGAGGGCACTGGAAATACCTACTGCTTACAATCTCACCTGCTGGAAAGGTAAGAATCTATAGTAAAAAATGTTGCTATTTTTAAAAATATTAACACATTTATCTATTATCTATTTACTTTAGCCTCTCCACGTAGCATGTGGGCTCTCAGTTCCCCCTGCAGTGGAAGTGTGAAGTCCTAACCACTGGATTACCAGGGAATTTCCCAAAATGTTATTTACTATTCCATTTTCAGGTTTTATAGCTTACAACTAATAAGATCCAGAGTAGTAAACTGCTATGTTATTCACATTCTAATTTTAAAGTTACCATTAATGGAAAGTACATGAAACAATTAAAGTTAAAACTTTTAAGTATTATAAAGAGGGCCCAAAACAAAATGTTGCCTTTATAACATGATATAGTCTAATATTCTAGCTAAATTCCTTCAATGAAACATGTTTTGACATATTGAGATCATTAGCTAAGACACAGACAGTACAGCCACAACTAAAACATACATTTATGGCACCAGATTTCGAAAAAGGTGCTTATTTTCTAAATTTTATAAATAGCTGATACAGATTTTAATGCAACTAAAGTAAATACATTCTAAAAAATCAAAATGTTTGACAAGTCATATAAATAATATCATTTAGCCTTAAGCCAGAAGACAAAGGTGAATAATAGCAGATTTATATGTTTTTCCTATCCTTTCAGTAAACTGTAGTACTATGGAATAGTTGTAAGCAAACTCAATTAAACTTATAAATGTTTAAGAGAGAGAAAACTTATACTAGGACATGGTCAGCAAATTTTTTATGTACAGTTCATATAATAATTATTTTACGTTCTGTGATCCATAGTCTGCTGCAACTATTCCAACTCCAATGTAGTAGAAATGGGTGGTGGTGTTCTAATAATATAATAAACTCTAATAAAACAGGTGGCAGGCTGGATATGGTCTACAGGCTGGAATTTGCTGACTCCTAAAGAGTGAAGTGGGGAGCTAATATTAACAGATGAGACATCTTTATAAATCATTTATTAGTATAAAAAACCATAAAGTGATATTATTAAAATCTGGTATTTGGGTACTACTTTCTAAAACAAAGTTATTTCTGACAGTCCTTATGCAGGAAATAACTTATGAGACACATTTTATTATTGCAGAAGAGAAATCTGCCGGGTGTGTGTGTGTGTATCTGTGTGTGTGTGTCGGTAGGTGTGGGTGTGTGTGTGGTATATACTCATCCAAATCTGAAGGTAAGATTTCTAGCACCGAGTGTGTGTACAGGTGTGGCTGTGTAGGTGTGTGGGGGGTGTGGGTGTGGGTGTGGCTATGTATGCAGTCAAACCTGAAGGTAAAATTTCTAGCACTGAGTCCAGAAAACTTCTAAATTAATAAACAGAAAAATAATATTCATAAATTACTGATCAGATTGCAAGTCACATCTCAGCACCTCGAAAGTGGCTGCTATCTCACTATTACAGTAAAAACATTCTCTACCAAAGAAATCAGCTGTATTTGTGTGCTCTATTAAAATGAAAACCTACGAGTAATAATAAACTTGAACTTACCTGCAAATATGCATTTAGATCTTTTTTTCTCTTTTCTAAAAAATCTCTATCCATATTATTAAAAGTCTTCTTACCAGGAAGCTTTAATATGCTTGACAGATTTTCAAACTACAAAACAAAATACATTCAATAATCTTAGATTTTTTTTTAGAAAAAGAGAAAAGTATTTTCCAACTGACAATTTCTCTGTGTATCAGAAGTATCTTAAACAGATTTTGCAATATATTTTATCTTATTAAGCCAAAATCAGAAAATATAAAGTACTGTGCAAATATATTCAAACCACAGTTCTAATGTTATTACAAAGAAGTTATTTTCTAAGAATGACAAACATGGATAACTGATGAACCACATGGTTTTTCATTTTAATAATCTCTCTGATTTTAAGATCATTCAAAATTTTCATAACAAAAGGTTTTAAAAAACATTTTGTTTAAAAACCTTTTGACAAGAATAAAGTATTAGCAAATAAACTATTAATAATCAAAGTTATGAGTTTCTGGTTTCTTGAAAAAAACTCAAAGAAATACTTTTATATTGACAACTTCAAATGAGTTAATCACTGTAATAGCTAACTATTAAAAGTAGAAGAGGCAAACTTCAAAATGTAGATTACAGCTATAACTCTTTCTGCATAATGACATATAGTATAACACTGATACTTTTCCCCTGCATGAAACTACATGAAAAATAAATTCATAATAATTAAGAAAATAACAGAGCTATAGAGCATATATCTTATATTTGTAAAGCCACTAACAAAAACAAGTGTACATATCTGAAGTTTAGCATCTATAGACTTCACTTTCAAAAGTCCAGATAGGTAGCAATCCACCATGCCTTGTTAAAGCACAGATTTTAACCATACTAGCTGCTAACAAAGTGGAAGAACAACGTCATTCAGCAAGTTATTGTGCTTGGCCAACAATATCCAGTATTTAAAACTTCAATGAGGAGCTTCATTGCTTTTCCTGTGCGATACATATCCAGGATGCAACAAGCTTTCTAAAACCATTCTTGGTTTAAATAACAACAGACAACAATGAGTCTGTAAAGAAAACTCATTCCTTGTGCAGAGATTAAAGAAAAGAGGAAATGAAAAGGTGTAGGATAATTTTCATCCCGAAACTGGAAGATTCTGATAAATTATTAAATGGAATGGCAAATCAGATGGTTGCTTGGACCTATAATGTGACAAGTTCATCACATGCTATGCATGAAAGTTAAAAGTAGTTCTTTTGCCCTAGCCAAGGAAAAAAAAGTGGGGGCAGTAATTTTCAGGGAAAATGTTATGCTGTAGTCACAAAACTGGTGGTTCACAAAAGTGTAAGAATGGATCATTATTGAATATGAATGTATAATATCCTGGTTTTAATTTTTTTAACCACATTTTATAGAAGTAAATTTACATTTTTCAAGGTGTCCTAAAAGATATTTGGTTTCCTGGAATATGACTTGTCAACAGTACCTTAAACTATTGACTGAATTTTACAGAAGGCATAGTTTATTTAGGCATTAACAATATATTTTATTCTCTCATAATTCACATGTTGAAACCTTGACCTCCAGTACTTCAGAAGTGGCTGTATTTGGAGACAAGGCCTTCAGAGAGGGAATAAAATAAAAACAAAGCCCTTATAAGAGGGATACAAAGAGCCATCAGGAATGGGAGCATACAATGAAAAAGTCATGTGAGGCCATATTCAACACCATCTGAAAGCCAAGGAGAGCTGACTCAAGAGAAATCAAACTTGCCAACACCTTGATCTTGGACTTCTAGCTTCCAGAACTATGAGAAAACGGATTTCTGTTGTTTAAGCTGGGTATTTTGTTATGGCAGTTCTAATAAACCAAGGGAATATAACAGTACTCCTCAAAACAACAATTTCCAAAATTTTGAAACATTAAACCTTATTAATAAAAAAATTAAATGTAACAGTTATTTTCTTAAAGTCTAAATTATCAAGCTGATTTTAAAATTATCTGTCTGTACCAGAAGCACTATGACTAACAGTTTTTCTCAAATACTGTTATTTTTAAAGGGAGAAAAATGGAAAAATTTAATACTCTATATTAATTCATAATTAGTTTGATATTTAAGAGATTATTTACAAGTACAAAGTAGTCCATTCCCTGCAAAGTAATAGAATTTCCTCTGCCAAAAAGTCACAAAAATATTTTTAAATGAATGCAAAAATAAAAAAAAAGAAACCTATTTAAAGAACTAACATAAATTAAAATGTATTTCAGTATTCACAAAGAACTCAAATACTATACATAAATCACAGACATTCCAAACCCAAAGATTTTATCTTTCCACACTGAATATGTCAGGTCTAGAAAATTTGAAAAACATTTAGAATTTTTTATTAGAAAGATTCAAAGTTCATTTATATCCAAACACATAAATACATTTTACCCAGTGATCTTAATGCATACTTAATATTTTTAAATCATTGGTATTTTATTTATAAATATAAGCTGCATATTTAGGAATAATTCATCCAATAAAACTGAAAGGCACAAAGTTATCCACTGGAATGCAAGCTCCTAGAGGCAAGGACTTGGTCTGTCTTGTTCATGGTCATACGTTGAATAATGAATTGGTAGAGTTGGGATCATTTCTAAAATAATTTGACATTTAACATTTTAATTATTTTTTTTTAATTTAAAAAAGAAAAAATCTTTTCATCCTGAACCCCCCTCCTACTTCCCTCTCCATCCCATCCCTCAATTATTTTCTTTTAATCCTATAAATCTTTATCCATAAAGTATCAAATTAAGACTATAAAAATTATAAAAAATTAAAGAAAACAAATAATAGTTCATATGTTTAGAATGGGAAAAAAATTTATGTCACAAAATTAAAGAAACAAAATGAAATCTGTTCTAAAATAATTTTAACACTTAAAGAGCTCTATGGAGTTAAAACTTATTTACGTCCACTGGCTGTACTGTTGCCACCAGTGAACTAAAAGCTCACTACATTTTCTTAAAGGATTTCTTTTAAAAATATAAATATAAAATAAAACTAAAACTATAAATAAGGCAAAGCTAAAAGGTAAACAGTATGAGTCTTATTTACAAGTGCTTAGTACTTTCCTTAAACCTAAATTTTCACTTAACAAGCTTAGGTTTTAATTTCTTAAGCTTCAAATCAATCCATATGCTTTAGTAAACACATACTACTGTTAACTTTAACACATCCACTTCATCTGTCTGCACTGAGCACTTTCAAAACTGAATTGTGCTTTATCAGTTAGTTGCATTTAATTTTGTTGCTGTCCTGAAAAGTAAATTTTCTACATGAATTGTTCCATTAATAGAGTTTTTTAAAAGTATGTTCTTTATCTATATTTGTCAATCTGTAAACAGTATTTACAGTCCTATCCTAGAATCTTTAAGCAATGATTATTCCTCTGAACAGTACGAAAAAATTATAACTATTCACACAAAGAAAATTTCATATTATACCAAATTCCCATAAATTTGCAAGTAACTAAAACTACTCTCAGTAATTCACATTACTTGTCATAAAATTTGTCATGTTAGGTCAAAGTGTGGGGATGAAAAGGAAGAGAGATATGAACTATGTGATTTAAAAAAAATATCAAACAGGAATTTTGGGGGGCAGAAAATTCTTTCACCTCTGCAAACAAATCAAGCTAAACATGGAGATCTATTTAAAAGAACAATAGAAGAGATATGCCAAGAGTTATTAATTTCCTTATGAATATAATTAAAAACAATCCTTTTAATATGGGCTTGTGGAGTCAACAATAACCTGGTTTCTAAACACTTTTAAGCTTTATTAGTAGGTTATCTCACTCTATTTACAAAATATTTTAATAAGATAATTATGGTGCCAACCATACATTTTCTACATCCTAAGTGAAAGATATATTTTCTGATTATTTATGTAGTAAAATGTCATTTCAAAGCTTTAGTTCACCCAATCAAATGCCACCATTATTATTATTTTATTGGCTTAATAATAATTGTATATTTTAAAACACTGCATGAAAGATTATCATGACTTAAAATTTCATAGATTACCTATTCCAATTTATCCACTGGTAATTTATTTTGTTCTAAGCAAAAAGAAGAAAAAATATTTAATAAAAGACAGAACAGAGGAAAGTAAAAACCTGTTTACATTTGTTACATTTAAGAGTCCTCATACTTCTATGAAACAAGAGAGCTATATTTGCTAAGAATTAAAAACATTATGTGGTTAATTTTAAATATAATTTAGGTTTTGATTCTTCATACAACTTAGTGGATCAAGGATTTACCTGTTAGTAGTTGGGAAAGGATGCCATTTAAAACAGCCACAGCTTTAAATTATATTACCAAACACATAACCACAAAATGTCTTACAATGATCTCTATCTGTATGTTAAATAAACCCGAATACCTCTGCAAAGGACAACACATATATACACTCTCTTAAATTCAGCCATACACATTTATTCTAATTTTCCAAGGTATATCATTGGTATTTGTCACCAGTCCACAGTGACTAGGACTGTTTAAAATTTATTAGTTAAATGGACAAAATCATTCTAACATTCATTGTTGATTATAAAAAATTGTTACCTTATTTTCTTAGCTTTGGTCAGTACCTTAGCGCCACTCACAACCATTTAGAATCAAACATGGAATCACGAAACAATATCAAGCACAAACTTTAAAAATCTCACTACCTGTTCGGTGATCCTCATGTGGAAGTCATGGAAGTCACTGTAACGACGATAGGTTTTCCACATCTCCTCAGTGTTCACATTGCGCCGGTGTACAGTGATGGCATACAACGCGTATGTCTTTCCATGATCATTACAAACGCCTGCCACAGCATATGGGTCATAGTGAGCATATACTAGTCATTTAAGACAAAATGAAGAGGAACAAAAGACACAAAAAGGAGGAAGATGAAGAACGAAAACAAAAAGGACAACATGAAATGGAGAATTTGAAATGACAGACTAAGACAAAAGGATATCACCAAGATTCCTATCATCTGTACTCAGATCCATAAGGTGTTATATGTGTTGGTTACATTACAAAATGACCTACAAGGCTATCATGATACTACCGACTACACAGTGATGTCCACTTTGGATTCTCTTTCCAAAGAGCTTTGAACAGAAACAAAATAATACCTTTTGTATTAGCCTTCACGATCCAGCTGTAACTCAATATTGATAGCTCTGAAACTAACCTGCAAGCAAAAGCTACAGGCTAAGATCTATCTGGACTTCCCAGTTGGCTCTGTGGTAAAGAATCTGCCTGCCAGTGAAGGAGATGCAGGTTTGATCTCTGGGTTGGGAAGATCCCCTACAGGAGGAAATGGCAACCTATTCCAGTATTCTTGCCTGGAGAATCCCATGGACAGATGAGCCTGGTGGGCTACAGCCAATGACAAGACTGAGCGACTAAAACAAACAAGATCTATCATCTTTTGGCAAATCTTTCTCATTCAAAATATACAGCAATTTACAAATGTAATTTATTCTGAAGACTTCTCTAAGAAGTCATTTTTTTCTATTGAATTGACACAAACCATCCAAGTCAGGCAGTCTTGAAAATCAAAACCTATTCCTATTTTGTATAGATCTTAAGTGAAGAGATGTACGTTGAATAATTCTTTCTCATTTTCCATCTTCCCACTCTGAAGCCATGTTGTATTCTACTCAAGATCACCTTTCCAGGTCTCCAACAGTTTACTAAGTCTCCACTCATCTGTACCTGGTCTGCTTTTTAATTCATTCACTCACCTTAATTTCAGTAACTACTTTTTGATTTCTATAACCAGATGTGGTTCTTTTTTACAATGTGGTATTCTTGCCTTGTTTTATCTCTACGATTATTTTTATCATACTCCCTGTGGTACACAACCACTTGAGGATGGCTGAATCTTGTATCACCCACATGTGATATCAGACAGCCTTTAAATTTCATATGAGTGATGCCATTCCGAACCATGACCTTGACATTCTTTGCGCTTTCCTCTGACAGTAGGCTAAGTTCTTCTAGTTCCTCTTTCATGTCAAGTCACCCTCTGTGAAGCTGGGCTTCATGCAAAGGCCTGTGGTTCCAGGCTTTCCTCTGCCTTTGCCCATTTGTACCTCTTTTAAATTTGAGGGCATGAAAATGCTATCAAAATCAAAAGAGCAGTCTTTGCACTCCTATAAGCTCTTGGGCTTCAACTCCTCTTCATTTCCCTATATTTGATTTTCCTTATAGTCTATTCCACCTGTAGATTTCCCCTTTTAGGTATTTTTATTCTACTGTTTTCAGTTTTTCTATGTGTAGGAAGCAAAATATTGCATAGCAGTTTAGACTATCATGTTGACCAGAAGTATAAATTGCTCTTCTAATAGTAGATGATATTGATCCATGATTGTAAAAAAAAGTGGCCAAAAGTGGCCAAGCTTTGGAGTTGACTAAATATTTTGTATTTTGTATATACTTAGGCAAAGAAAGGTCTGAGCAGCTTCTTAGTAAATTATTTTAATCACAAAAACAGTTACAAATCTATACTGGCAAAAGCAGTTTGACAGAAATCTTTCCCAGGTTTTCATGAAAGTTTTTCTAAGATTTTCACTTTGTATTCAGAATTGTCCTTTATTCCCTTTCCATTCCTGATTTGACAAAATATAAGACTGGGGATAGACCTGGTCATCTTGCTGTCAGAGACTTTATTATTCACTGTTCACCTCTTTCAATTATCCTTTACTCAGAGACCTATGCAGAACAAACTATACAACACTTTCATCACATTAAAAAACCACCATCACTCAACAGTGTCAGCATGCCAACAAGGGAATGGCTTTACATGCTGTGTTCAAGAAAGGTTTGGGAAAGGATAACAGAAATCAGGGGCCACTTAGGCAGCAAACAATAACCAATTAGGAGCTAATAAGAACAAGGAAACTAGCAAGAAATAGAAAAGGAAAGAAGAAAGGATGTCAGAAAGCATTTTAAATAACAGTCAGAAAAAAAAAAAATAGTTAGATTTCTTACAAATTTGATAGGCAGGGAGACCAGACTAGGATGGGTGCACAAAAGGAAGAATATGGGGCTACTATAAAACAAGCCTTAAGATAGAAAGGTAATTTGATTTTAAAAGATAATGAGGCTACATACATTTTAAGATGATGGTAAGATATTACAGTGTAAATAATAGGTTGTGTTTTCATTAGGACAATGTTACTACTCATAGCAGGTGCTATGCAACCTCTTTGTTACTAATCTATAACCAGATAAGGAACCAGGATCAGAATATAAATAAATCTAATCACTAAGCATATTGTCTAACCTAGCCACTTATTTTTTACAACAAGATTCTTCAATGAAGGGCCAGTCCACTAGTCCAAGAATCATTCCATAAGTGCACTGCACTAGTTCTACTTCCTGTCATAAGGTTAAGGACATGGGATCCAGACTCAAAGAGACTCTGGAGCCCAACTAGTAAAGTAAATATTTATCGAACAGACACTAATATATAATGCCCACCATGTAACTACTAATACAATTAGTTTATTTGTTCTATGAGGCAAGTATTACTATCATCCCATTACACAGATGAGGAAATTAAGATGCAGAGAAGTTAAGAATCATCCAAGTTCACCCAACTATTAAGTGGCAAAGCTGGGGTTTAAACCCAAGCAATTTGGATAAAAAGTTGTGCTCTTAACCACTCTAGTATACTGCCTCTAAGTGTTTATACATAATTTTGTCTGACAGAAATAATAACTTATTAAAAACACTTAGCATTATGCTTCCATATCCTTTAAGAAGCTGATAAATACTTCTTGAATGAATGGACAAAACAGCTAGAAAATCAGAATCCTCAAAAGAGAGATCCACATAAGAATCACGAGAAGCCAGATAAGAAAACCATCACTGACATTATCTAATAACTCAATACCAATGATAAAATTATTTTTTTCCTCAGTTCACTAGCCATTTTGCTGATTCAGTCATGAATCTCACCTCATCCAAGCATTTCTTTTTTTTTTTTCATCCAAGCATTTCTTCTTTTCATAAACTCCTTTACAAAAGCTTCATTTATCCAGAAATCTACTGACTTCTGCATGTATGAAAACAAATACTAAACTAAAATCTGCCCCAAAACAATTTAATTACAATTATGCAGACAATTATCAGCTGGACTCAAAGAAAAGATTGGTTTCAAAGTTTATCAGCAATGACAAAATGCTCAGAATTTACCCTTTTTCAAATGATAACAGTAACAACCTTAAAGAAAGGAAATACACATATAATAATAAACACTGTAGAATTTAATGAAGAATATGCTACAGAAAAAAATGCAACATGAAAATATGACTAAAGAATAGAAAAATGATTTGTAAAAATAAATGTGGAAGATAAGGTAGGGGTAATGATACTCAATAGTTTTTAAGTAATAATTAAACCACAAAGTCTCTTACCAGTGTCTGAAATGTAAGCGTGAAGTTGTACTGAGTCATCAGAAGATACATTTGAAAGGTCATCTAAAGACTGGTGAGGGAAAAAAAGTCGGAAAACAAAAATTTTAAATTCTGTAGGAAAGAAAATGTTAAAGATTTCCATATCATATATATTACTCATTTTTGCTCTATGTCCTTATCTGTACCTCCCTCTCACAAACAATGATTCTCTTTATTTATACTAATAGGAGAAAGAGAAGATAAGATGAAGAAACTGTAAAACAAAGCAATTTAATAATCAACTTAATAAATACATCAGATTATTTCTTCCTTCATTACCGGTCCACATACTATAATTTGCTTCTCCCCAATTATATTCAACATATGGCAAGAAAAAATGTGGATAAAATAAGTAGACATATTCTTAAATCAACATTTCACTTTTTTAATGTTGAAATATATTACAGCCAACTTTGTATTAACACTTTTGTTAACTTAGAAATAATTTTAGTTAAACTCCTTATCTACAAAGTGAGAATAATCATACCTATATCAAAGGGTATGTCAGGACTAAATGAAGACATGTAAAACATTTAGAAGACTGCCTAATACAAAAAATGTTAGCTAATATTGTGATTATTTACTAAATGAAGTGAATCTACAGTTAAGATTTAGTCATTTTTTAAAAATAATTCCATAAACAAAAATTATTACTAATTGATTCAGAATAAATTTTATAACTATAAACTTTGGCTCAAAACTTTTTTGCTCCATATCCACACACCCACACATATACAGAAGGGAACATAAGCATATAATGAAGGCGAGACTGTATGGAAAAGAGTTAACACAACAGACCTTAAGTTGCTCTCCTTAGAAAGGACACCCTGAGATAATATCTGGGAAGTTAGATTTAGAAAAAGTTCCCATCATTCCTAACTGCTAAAGTGGTTTACTCTACCTAAACTATCTGTACAGACAATGTGGTTTACACCAAACACTGGCTTTCTTTCTGGGAGTCAGTTTAACATATGCCTTGTGTGATCTACCTCCAATAAAAACCCTGGGCATTTAAGTCTCAGATGAGCTTTCCTGGTAGCAGCATTTCACACATGTTGCCATATTCACTGCCAGCGCAATTAGGTCTGTGCTATGTGACTTCCATGGGAGAAGATTAGCGGAAACTTGGGCCTGGTATTATCTAGACTTTGCCCCATCCACCTTTTACCTTTGCTGATTCTGCTTTATATCCTTCCACTATAATAAATTTTAGCTGTAGGTATGACTATGCTGGGGCCCGTGAGTCCTCCTAGTAAATCAGTGAACACAGAAGTGGTCTTAGAGACCTATAACACACAGACAGTATATGATTCAGACATATTTTACACTTGAAAAACCATGGGATCTAAATGAACTTTGGATTCCTAATGTGGTATTACCAGTTATTAATGAGTCATCTAAATGACCTTAATGCAGCCATGCATATGACATAAAGCCATTTAAAATTAAGCAACTGCATCCTAAGAAGAAAGCCAAAATTCTATCTCCTAAAGACTGATCACCAGAAGAAACAAAATTTGGTAACTCCATACAGATGATCCACAAGTCAAGTGGGAGAACCATTCAATTAAATTAGATCTAGTCCAGACTTCACCACTGATAACCTTAACAGACTTTAGCCATATCAAGTAAGTCTTTTCTGTATTTCAGTTTTCCCAGTGGTAATGGTGTAATATCTGTTCCACAACTCTATCAGGATATAATGTGAATGAAAATGCTTTGAAAAGAATTAGAATGCACTTAATTTTTTTAACTGACCTACAACAAAACATTTTGACAAATAGCAAAACCTTTGTTTTAGAATTATTTTTACATGATAGAATCCCAAAGGAAATGGAATATTCTACAGAATTTAAAATTGTTATCTACTGTAATCTTCTTCTAACTATAAGCTAGCACAGGGAATATAAAACAATCACCTTTTTCAAAAAAGCATTATTATTACCGGTAACCTTCCTTTGTAGGTAAACATAAAAAGTTATATTTTGCTTTCTTACTACTTTAACCATGTTAGCATCTTATACTATGAAAGCCAGAAGCTGTTGAAAAACTCTGTATATAAACGCCTTTTCTAGCACATGTAAAATATGCAATTAATATTTGCATTAGGTATGATGAAAAAAATTCAATGAAATGTCTCTTAACCATTAGTCACACTTATAATGCATGTGTAAATATCAACTAGACTATATAAAGTTACAACTGATAACATTATAACCATGGGAACTACACTGTGATTTAGAAGTACAAGTACTGATTAATCAAAGAAAACTGTGATTTCAAAACAAGTACATTAATGTTGCCCTGAAATAAAATACAGTTTGCAAAGTGACCATGGGTTAAGAGTCTTGAAGTTCTTGTAAAAAAAAAAAGAAGTGTTTTTTGTAACATTATGCCAGGATAAAAACCAAAAATTGAAATTTACTATGATAATCAATTCAGCAAACAGAACTACAATGGATGGTACTTTGAAAATGCTTATAATCTATGTACTAATCTCAATCACAAAATGAGTACACCACACATTAAATATTTTCTTTGTTTAGTTTGCTGGAATAAACTATAATGATCCAGTTTATAATTTTAATACAATTAATAAATATTATCTTCATTAAATATGAAAAAAACTTGCTAGTCTTAAGAACAATTTTTTGTAATCAAACTAGTGTAAAAATTCAACTGTTTATTCAAATTTGTCTATGTATTTAAAAAAAAGAATCCAAAAGACTCCAGCTACTTAAAAGCTTGGATTTAACAGATTTGTGTGAAAAACCAACATACTGTAAGTCACTGATGTCAAGTGTCACCTTTTTCAATTCACAGACTGTTTTGCTTTGTATCACTAAATGATAAAAGCAATCTCTTTTATTTGAAAAAGCATTTATTCCAGACAGGGAATGAAGAAAAAAATATTTTTTAGCAGTGTTCAAACACTTGTACAAGAACTACAAATATGAATACTAAAAAATTTCAATCCAAGGAAAAATTTCATCATATTTGGAAACTTTTTCTTCCTAATGGGCATTATATTGCTAACACTGCTCAGTCTCTATGAGCTATTTCTTTTTATCATAACTCTATGGAAAATTAGAAGCAAATAGTAATGATACTAGATAATTTAGGAAAACACTTAAAACATTACAAAATATCTGACATAACACTATGGCTAATTTGCTTTAGTGTTTTGTTAAAGGTTATACGTTGTACAATAATGGGACATTTATACAATAAGGTCATTTTAGGAATAAATGTCATACTAAGGAACACAAGACAATGGACCTCTCAACCACTTATCTATTACAAAAAGTTCAAAAGAAAAAGTCATGTAGATAGTGGAAGGAAAAACAAAGCAAGCAATCTCCCCATCCTCAACAAATTCAGGACTGAAACTTGCACACAACACTAATATTTCTCTCTAGTAGCATTTTATGAAACAAGGTATTCAACGACAAGCATGGATATATAAGAGAACTGAAATGTTCATTATTTCACATTTCACCTTGAACATATGAAACGCCAGTGAACAGTTTATGTGCTAAAAATGTGTCATTCTTAAACCTGTAATCACAGAATACAGTTGCTTAATTCTTGTAAAGCCCTCTAAGCTTAAAAAATGTTTGGTTTTTTTTTTTTTCTAATAACCTGAACTTGTTAGTGTGGACCTTAAGAAATATCTTTAGGTTTCCAGGCATCCCAACCAGTTATACTTCTTTTCTAATTAACAAGAAGAAAAAACTAAATCCAATGTAAACATTTATGTGTCATAAATTTACTGCCCATCATAGCACTGATCAGAGTGAAATATTAAATACTGAGGTTGAAAATGATGAAATAATTTTTATTACTTGCAACTAAATCAGGCAGGTGATTTAAACCCATTTTTTAAAAAGAAAATAAACTTCATTTCATTAAGTTCTAATCCACAGATCCCTTATATGTGAATTTAGTATTTCTATAAAAGTGCGACAGCTTCTTATAAGGATGATTTGAGGGTCCTAATACAGCATTTATTTACATATGTTAAGGCTCAGTTTTTCATATTATTCTCAGACCAGTTTAAGAATTAAAGTAGTCATAACAGTACTTACCAAATTTATGCTTCCTGTAGGAGACCCATTAAAAGATTCTGTGAGAAGGAAAATTCAACTTAATATACAGTCAAAAACTCTTCAAACAGTGCTTTAGCTATCTAAGGTTCAAACCCCAAGAATGAAAGCCACAGAGCCAAGAAAGAACAATAAAGAAAATTGTGGTACACTACTCCCAAACACCTGTTTTCATGGTTTTCTAAGCCAGGTTATTTCAGTGCAAAGAGTTATGTACCTAAGTTGTTCCCCTCCCCCCCCAAAAGGCATTTATGTACAAAAAAAAGCATTTTTACATATTTTATTCTCATAGTATCATATTAAGTTGTCTAATATAAATGTAAACATGAGGTAAACACTGCGAATGACATCTGAAATTGTCATTTGAAATGAATGACATTTCACACCAGGAAATGTCAGAGGTATTTTGTTACTTCTGCCTCACTGGATTAATATTACAAATAAAATTATTCTTTAATATGAAAGATAAAAAGTTGTTTATTAAACCTATAAAGCCCACTTATTCATGGTTGATCTGTATCAAAAATGCTGAAGTCTAGATTCTTAAATCAATATACAATTAGTAGAACAAAAGACACATAAAATTCCATGAGTAATGCCATTTAATTAAAAAGCAACTAGAAATTATTTTTAAAAATGTTAGAGAGTAATTATTAAAATTAATATCTTTTCCCTCAGAATTTTAGTATATATCTGATCAAGTTAAGTTACCAATTAAGTTATCACTCTGTTAAAAACACAAAGGAATATATGGTAAAGCAATATTCATAAACAGTTTAAAGTTACTATATGGCTTGTAGCATATTAGATGTTATTTATAGTTTGGATCTCTAGATGCATCTTCAAAGGAAATTTCTATTACTACTGACACAGGTAGCTGGCATTGCCTTCCAACTTCAACACCTCTAAACGCCCAAGAACATTTCTCAGTTCCTCAAACCTCTGGACACAAAAATAGGAAATTCCACCTAGAATAATTAAAGTGGATAAAAAAATAGTTCTCTATCCTCCTCATTCAATTATATGCCTCTTACCTTCTTTGTTCTGCCCACCTCTGAAGTCTTCCCACCAAAGACATGTCAAATTAAAAGAAAAACTAGTAGCAAAGCAGGGGCTTCCCTGGTGGCTCAGTGGTAAAGAACCCACCTGGAAATGTGGGAGACATGGGTTTGATCCCTGGACTGGGAAGATTCCCTGGAGAAGGAAATGGCAACCCACTCCAGTATTCTTGTTAGGGAAATCCCATGGACAGAGGAGCCTAATGGGATACAGCCCATGTAGTTGCAAAAAAGTCAGAACTTACCAACTAAACAAAAAGAACAAAGGAGCAAAACAAGGCATGGTTTACTTTCTTGCTTAACAATAAGATTCAGAAATTTAGAGTGTCTAAAGCCAATGGAGATCTATATTTAATCAAGACTTTAACAACTGCTTAAAAATATTAGAAAACAAAAGAAGCTATTGTTTGGCATGATGAGAAAAATGTGATTCAAATTAAAATTTAAAAGGGAAAGCATAATTTAAATATTTAAAAGGCTGTGAATTTGTTTTAATAAAGGAAAAAATATCTACCCTTAAAATAACTTAAAGCTAAACTAAAGAAGGCAATCTCACTGACAAAGACAAGGAAGATGGAAGAGAGAGAGCATAGGTAAGCAAGCCATCCAGCTACCTACCTACTTACAGAAGTTTAGTTAAATAAAAATGAAGTTTAATTAAACAGGAATGAAATTTCTTCCAAAACAAAGAAAAAGTACCAAGGATACTATTATACATGGTAAGACTTTACCCTCTAACTTTGTGCTCAATTAACCTACATAAATAAAGGGGGGGGGGGGGCGGGGCGTGGACAGCTACACATTGAACACTAGATTGGATGATTATTTCAAAATGTCTAAAAAGCAGCCAGAATTTCAGGACTTTACAAAATACACAAAGTATCAGGAAAGTTAATTTTTAAAAATCAGGAAATGAATTTATAACCAGAAAATATAAAGTCTATTTTAATTAAACAATCCTATGCAAACAAGAAAATTATAAGCATTACTACTTGAAAAGTTGTAGCAAATGCCTAAAACCTAAACACTGACAAATACACATAACACCCATTTTTAATAAAAATGTTTCAAATTATACCCATTATTCCATATATTTTCTTAACATGGTTTCAAAAAAGTATTAGGTAATTTCTCAGTTATAAAACATGTAAGAGCTCATTAATTAGGACACGGAATGTTAAAAAGCAATGTCCCAGACAGACAAAAGATGTATGTGTATATATTAATTCCAAAATAATATCAATGATTCCAATGTAAGGAACTACTCAATGACTGACATAAAAGAGCAGCTCATTTTATTCAGATCAAAATCAGCTGCAGAAAAAAAAAACACACCTCTTAATCTACTTTGTGTTTTAAATAAGTATGATGTTTTGGGAAGTTTGAGATCACATAAATAATTTGCTTCCATCAGTCACATACGAAAATGGAAGCTAAAAGTCAGTTTAGAAGATTCTGGAAGAGTTTTTACACCACAGGATCAAAAACTACTCCCACAGAATATATTGCTACTATGATCATTATATAATACATAAATGCTTATAAATTAGCTGCTTATGATTTATCTTCTTTCTTTCTGGGTCAGATAGCAATTCCATTTCACAGCACTAAGCAAATTTCTAAAGTAGACAAAATTAAAATATACAATGAAAACATTTATAATAGTCCTTTAAGGAAGGAGAGTTTCTACTACAAATTTCATATCAGCTCTGTAAAAGATTTTTCAACAGAGATAGTAAACAGATACAATATATAATAAACTCTAAGTACACTGAATTTTACTATTGAGCTCACAGAGAAGTGCTCTTAAAAATAGAAAACTCCCTCTATTCAAATACAGTTAACAGAGTACTATCCCAATTTTACAAATAACCAAGATACTAGATCAACAATCAATATAAAAGCTATTGTAACATACAAATTTTTAAACTATATTTCTTATATTATTTAAAAAGTAAAGTCTCACTAATATAGAGTAAGGAGTGGGGAGGATGGGTAGAAAAGAGGGGAGGCTAGAAAGCTTCCAAAATAGAGGCATTTGCTAAAGCAGTGCTAACCACTTAATACATCTATTGTATCTCCAACTTTAAGTGGTCCTGTCCATTAACTCTATTTATAAGTAAATGTGCATAATTAAAGCACTCTCTTAAATACTTAGTAAAGTCGTTCCCATTTATTTTGTATTTACATTGCATATTTGCTAGGAAGTTTACCAAATCCTAGATACTTTATTAGAGTTTAATAAGTACTTCTGCATTGAATTACTAGTAAAAATGGTCATCAGGCCTAAAGTCTGCAAGCTGTCTAAGGGCTGCCTCACACACTATTCTTAAATAGCAATTATTTACTGTGAAGAAAAACTGATATTTGTGTTTTAGTTTATACATCATTTTTACATACAGAATTCCATTAAAATATGACAACTCTGAGGTAGGATATTACTACAAGAAGAATATTAGTCTACGTTTTTAACTAAGAAAAATAAGGCCTAAAGAAACTAAATGTTTGGCCAATATCACACAGGTAATAAGTAGAAAAGGAGTAAAATCAAAGTATTATCACTCTTAAAGTCTGTTTTCTTTCTTTCTTTTTTTGTTTTCTTCACTATACAATGTGACCAGAAGAAAATGGAAAGATTGGAATAAATGACCCTTGTAACTTCTCCTGGCTTATATTATACAGGATTTGGAACAGAGTCCAATTAAAAGCAGAAAAAAATGTTTTTACAATGTTTTACAGTTTATGGGACATTCTCAGAATCATCACTTGTTATCTCATTTAATCTTCTCAATAATCCTATCATTAATCATGACAATTATTACTTATAAGCAAAAAAGAAACTACCATAAAAATATTGGGGTGACAATCCCTTTGAAAACATGCTTCAAGAATTTTAAGAAAAATTCTCTTTTCTCTCCCTTCTCTTTGTTTTTCTTTTCTTTTTCCCTTTTTTCCTTCACTCTTTTTTTTCCACTATGTAAGTTAAATTGTTGTGCTCTCTTTTCTATATTCCCCAGATGGCAATCTGCTTAGGCTCAGTTTTCCAGATTGAGCGTTAGTTAGCTCTGCTTTTAATTGATCGATATCACGTTTGGTTTCCCTTGTTCACCGAGTCTATCTCCTATACTCTTTTCTTTACAATACTTTGGTTATGACTGTATGTGTGGAAGTGAATGTATATGTCCCATTATTTCTGTAATTACCTACCTGCTTGATTTCCTCCCACTAGAACACAGGTACTAGTCACTCCTAATAAGGAGTCAATACAAGCCACTCAGACCAACAACCTTTCCCTCCAAGGGCCAAAACCAAAATGAAGAAGGAATACAACCCTAAAGCCTGGGAAAGTGGACCAAGTTAGAAAAAAGAAAAAAAAAAAAGAGAGAAATACAGCACAAATGAAAGAACAAGACAGAAAGTCACAAGACCAAATAAACAAAGATGAAATAAGCAATCTACCTGAGAGAATTCAGAATGACAGTAAAGATACTCCAAAGTCTTTGAAACAGAATGGAAAAGATGCAAGAAATAATTAACACAGTTAATACAATCACCAAGGACATAGAAGAGATAAAGAATAATCAAACAGGTATAAATAACACAATTACTAAAATTAAAAATACTCTGGAAGGGACCAATAGAATAACTGAGGCAGAAGAACAGATAAGTGAGCTGAAAGAGAATGGTGAAAATAACTGCTGAAAAGCAGAATAAAGGAAAAAGGATGAAAAAAATTGAGGATAGTCTGAGGCCTTTGGGACAATATTAAACACAACAACATTGGAGTTATAAGGAATCCCAGAGTAGTAAGAAAAAAAGAAAGGTACTGAGAAAACTTTTGAAGAAATTATAGTTGAAAACTTCCCCAACATGGGAAAGGAAATAGTCAATCAAGTTCAAAAAGCACAGAGTCCCTTACAGGACAAACCCAAGGAAAAACACATCAAGACACATATTAATAAAGCTAACAGAGATTAAACACAAAGAAAGAATATTAAAAGGAGCAAAGGAAAACCGATATGCTTAACAGCAGATCTTTCAGCAGAAACTCTGGAGGCCAGAAGGGAATGGCAGGATATATTTAAAGTACTGAAAGAAAAAATCTATAACCAAGATTACTTCACCCAGCAAAGATCTCATTCAAAATTGGAGAAATCAAAAGCTTCACAGACAAGCAAAAGTTAAGAGAATTTAGCACCATCAAACCAGTCTTACAACAAATGCTAAATGGACTTACATAGCCAGTAAACACAAGAGAAAAGAAAGACCTACAAAAACAAACCCAAAACATTTAAGAAAATGCCAATAGGAACATATATCTCAATAATTACTTTAAATGTAAACAGATTAAATGCACCAACCAAAAGATACAGACTGACTAAATGGATACAAAAACAAGACCCATATATATACTGCACACAAGAGACCCACTTCAGACCTACAGAAACATAGACTGAAAGTAAAAGGATGGAAAAAGATAGTCCATGCAAATGGAAACCTAAAGAAAGCCAGAGTGGCAATCCTTATTTCAGACAAAATAGACTTTAAAATAAAGAATATTATAAGAGATAAGGAAAGACACTACACAATGTTCAAGGGATTAATTCAAGAAGAAGACATACAATTATAAATATTTACGCACCCAACACAGGAGCATCTCAATACATAAGGAGAACACTAACAGGCTTAAGAGGGGAAATCAACAGTAATACAGTAATAGTAGGAGACTTGAACATCCCACTGACACTGATGGACAGATCATCAAAACAGAGAATCAATAAGGAAACACAAACCTTAAATGAAACATTAGACCAAATGAACCTCACTGATATCTTCAGGACTTTCCACCAAATGCAGAAAAATACACTTTCTTCTCAAGGGCACATGAAACATTCTTCAGGACAGACCACATCCTGGGTCACAAATCAAGCCTCAGTAAATTTAAGGAAACTGAAATCATATCAAATATCTTCTCTGACCACCATGTTAGGAGACTAGGTATCAACTACAGGAAAAAAAAACAACTGCAAAAAACACAAACTCATGGAGATTAAATAATACATTACTAAATAACAAAGAGGTTACTGAAGAAATAATTCTTAAAGATTAAGATTTCTTAAATATTCTTAAAGAATCCAAAGAGTCTTAAAAACAAACAACAACAAAGACACGACAACCCAAAACCTACGGGATTCAGCAAAGAGTTCTAAGAAGGGAAGTTTATAGCAATATAATTCTACCTCAAGAAAAAAGAAAAGCATTGAAGAGAGCACCTAAGTCTACATCCAGAGCAGCTGGAAAAAGAACAAAAAACCCCAAAGTCAGTTGAAGGAAAGAAATCATAAAGATCAGAGGAGAAACAAATAAAAAAGAAGTGAAGGAAACAGTAGCAAAGATTAATAAAACTAAAAGTTGGTTCTTTGAGAAGATAAAATTGACAACCCAAGAGCCAGACTCATCAAGAAAAAAAGGAAGAAAAATCAACAAAATTAGAAATGAAAAAGTAGAGGTGATGACAACATAAAGGATCATATGAGAATATTATGAACAACTATATGGCTAATAAAATGGACAACCTAGAGGAAATGGGCAGATTCTTAGAAAAGTTCTACCGCCCAAAAAGGAATCAGGGGGAAAAAAAGAAATTATGAACAAGCCAACTGGAAACAATGAAATCAAAACTGTGATCCAAAATTTCCCAAAAAACAAAAGCCCAGGGCCAGAAGGATTCAAAGGGGAATTCTATCAAACATTTAGAGAAGAGCTAATGCCTATTTTTCTGAAAATCTTCAAAAAACCTTCTGAGGAAGGAACCCTTCCAAACTCAGTCTACAAAGCCACAATCACTCTGATATCAAAACCAGGCAAAGACAACACACAAAAGAGAAAATTACAGGTCAATATCACTGAGGAACACAGATGCCAAAGTCCTCAACAAAATTCTAGCAAAGAGAATTCAACAACACATTAAAAAGCTCATATACCATGGTCAAGTTGGGTTTATTCCATGGATGCAAGGATTCTTCAATATACACAAAAATCAATGAATACATCATATTAAAAAACTGAAAGATAAAAACCATGACCAACTCAACAGATACAGAAAAATCCTTTGACAAAATTCAGCACCCATCTATGATAAAAATGCTTCAAAAAATGGGCACAGATGGAACCTACCTCAACACAGTAAAGGTAATATATGATAAGCCCACAGCAAACATTATTCTCAATGGTGAAAAACTGAAAGCATTCCCTCTATGATTAGGAACAAGACAACTGTGTCCTCTCTTATCACTATTATTCAACATAGGTTTGGAAGTCCTAGGGATGGCAATTAGAGAAGAAAAAGAAATAAAGAAATCCAGATTGGAAAAAGAAGAAATAAAACTCACTACTTACAGATGACATGATACTATACATAGAAAACCCAAAAGAAACTATCAGAAAATTACTAGAGCTAATCAGTGAATTTAGCAAAGTCATGGGAAGGAAGGTCAATACACAGAAATCATTTGCATTTCTATATACTAACAATGAAAAATTAGAAAGAGAAATTAAGCGATCAATCCCATTTACCATTACAACAAAAAGAATGAAATTTCTGGAAATAAGCTTACCTAAGGAGACAAAAGAACTGTATATGGAAAATTATAATTATGAAAGAAATCAAAGACAACATTAAACAGAAGGAGAGATATACCAAGTTCCTGGGTTGGAAGAATAAATATTGTGAAAATGACTATAGTACCAAATGCAATCTACAGATTCACAGAGATCCCCATCAAATTACCAACAACATCTTTCACAGAATTAGAACAAAAAATTTCACAATTAATATGGAAACACAAAAGACCCCAAATAGCCAAAGCAGTCTTGAGAAAGAAGAATGGAGTTGGAGGAATGACTTCAGTCTATACTACAAAGCTACAGTCATCAAGACAGTATGGTGCTGGCACAAAAAGAGAAATACAGACCAATGGAACATGACAGAGAGCCCAGAGATAAACCCATGCACATATGGGCACCTTATTTTTGACTAAGAAGGCAAGAATATACAATGGGGCAAAGATAACCTCTTCAATAGTGGTGCTGGGAAAACTGGACAGCTACGTGCAAAAGAGTGAAATTAGAACACTTCCTAATGCCATACACAAAGATAAATTCAAAATGGATTAAAGACCTAAATGTAAGACCAGAAACTACAAAACTTTCAGAGGAAAACATAACAGAACATTCAATGACATAAATCAAAGCAAGATCCTCTATGACCCACTTCCTAGAGTAATGGAAACAAAATAAAAATAAACAAGTGAGACCTAATTAAACTTAAAAGGTTTTGCACAGCAAAGGACAAACAAGGTGAAAAGACAACCCTCAGAGTGGGAGAAAGTAATAGCAAAGAAACAACTGACAATGGATTAATTTCCAAAATATACAAGCAGTTCATACAACTCAATACCAGAAAAACAAACAACCCAATCAAAAAGTGGGGAAAAGACCTAAACAGACATCTCTCCAAAGACATACAGATGGCTAACAAACACATGAAAAGATGCTCAACATCACTCATTATTAGAGAAATGCAAATCAAAACTACAATGAGATATCACCTCACACCAGTCAGAATGGTCATCATCAAAAAGTCTACAAACAATAAATGTTGTAGAGGATGTGGAGAAAAGGGAATCCTTGTACTGCTGGTGGGAATGTAAACTGACACAGCCAGTATAGTATGGAAGACGGTATGGAGATTCCTTTAAAAACTAGGAATAAAACCACCATATGACCCAGCAATCCCACTACTAGGCATACACCCTGAGGAAACCAAAACTGAAAAAGATACACGGAACTCAAGGTTCACTGGAGCACTATTTACAATAGCTAGAAGATGGAAGCAACCTAGATGTCCATCAACAGATGAACTGATATAGACACTGTGGTACATAAATACAATGCAATATTACTCAGACGTGAAAAGAATGCATTTGAGTCAGTTCTAACGAGGGGGACAAACCTAGAGCTTATTATACAGAGTCAAGTAAGTCAGAAAGAGAAACATAAATATCATATACTAACAAATATATATAGAATCTAGAAAAGATGGCACCGGTGAATTTATTTTCGGGGCAGCAATGGAGAAACAGACATAGAGAACAGACGTACAAACACAGGAGGAGGGGAGGGGAGAGAGGGTGAGATGTATGCAGAGAGTAACATGGAAACTTACAATACCACATGTAAAGTAAGAGAGCCAGTGGGGATCTGCTGTAAAACTCACAAACAGGGGCTCTGTAACAATCTGGAAGGGTGGGATGAGGAAGGAGATGAGAGGGAGTTTGGGAGGGAGGGGACACGGGTGCACCTATAGTTGATTCTTGTTGATGTCTGATGGAAAACAACAAAATTCTGTAAAGGAATTATCCTTAGACTGAAAAATAAATAAATAAATAAAAAGGAATTCTAGGCTCAACAGTTATGTTCTAATTTGTTATCAGATTTTAACATTTTAATTTAGTATAGTAAGTAAATGTCATCATTTATTCATGGACTTAAAAATATATTACAATTTATATTTCAGCTTTAAGAACATTTTTATGCTATTTGAAAGGATTTCCCTTGGTAAACAGAATATATACAGGAATATACACATATACATGGATAAATGTACAATGTATGCTACCTTACCTCCATCACCATCATCTGATCCTCTGAAACTAGGATCTTTTAACATATCCAGTTCAGCTAACATGCGCACATAAAGTGCATTCTGTCTGAAGGAAGGATAAAATCTTTCATCTCGAAGCATCAATTCATACACCTTATTGAAATAAATCAAGATATTCAATCATTAATACAAATAATGTACTAATTTCCACACACACAAAAAAAGATTTCATCAAAAGCTAGACAGAGGTATTACTCCAATGAATTATAGGCTCCATATTTATAATATGTCGGTAATAAGACTATGTCACAACTAGAGATATTTTTCTGGCCCCTCTAGAATCTAAATTATACTGAAAAGGGTCCTACTGCAAAACAAGTCACAGGACAGAAGTTATATATAATGCTCTACAAAGTAGTGTTCTCTAAGAAACAAATCCAAATACATAAAGGCTCAAAGCACACATTAAAATAATGAATCTGTTATTTATACATCATCTATTCATAAAATTCTAGAATCTGTATCTGTCATTTTAGCCAGATTCAAAGTAAATAACCCAGCATAGGGATTTTCTGCATTTCTACAGTAAATAAGCAAAGAAAAACTGGCTACTTTGTGAAGTATTACTACCATAACACATCTTTTTAGTTATCACACTGTACTTTCATAACATTTCAATAACCTTTTACAGACAAATTACAAGCATATAGACACATACATTGTTTTCAAAAAAGATATAATGATAAATGTTGTACATAATACCTTCCTTTGAATGTCATCAAAGATTTCAGGGGTTGGATCTTCATGATTCAAAGTATCTGCTAATTTTGCTACCAAATAATCATCAACAGTAACTCTTGGAGATGCCTGACAGAGAAAAACACAAGTAGCATTGATCTTTGAAATTTCTAAATACAAGTTAAGCCATCATAGTAGGAGAATTAAATAATTTGTTGTTCAGTCACCCAGTCATGTCCGACTCTTTGCAACCCCATGGACTGCAGCATGGTAGGCTTCCCTGTCCTTCACTATCTCCCTGACTTTGCTCAAAGTCATGTCTACTGAGTCAGTGATGCTATCCAACCATCTCATCCTGTCGTTCCCTTCTCCTCCTACCCTCAAATCTTTCCCAGCATCAGGGTCTTTTCGGCTGAGTTGGCTCTTTGCATCAGGGAGCCGAAGTAGGACAATTAAATAATGGAATCATAGTACTAAAAGTAACTGCAAAAAAAATCCTTGGTTTGTATATGACACCTTGATGTTTAAAGGCTGAAATCAGAACTAGTATTTTTCTGGCCATGAGGTACTACACAGTAGACTTGTTAGACAAACGTGGATTTAAATCTTAACTTTTGCTGAGCAAGTTTCCTGTCACAAGGCTTAACTTACTCAATCTGTAAGATGGAGATAAATACTACATGTCATTACTGTGAGGATGAAAAGAGAGTTACGTAAGGCGCATGTGTCCAGCACACAGGAAACACTGTCACCACGCATTAGTGCTGAGCACTCAGTAGTCTTAGATGTGTACTTAATAAAATGTCAAGAGTATGCCATGTTGCTACTAATCATTTAACACCAGAAACAATCCTTCTGAATGGCACTTAAAAGAGACTATCTTTAATACTGCAGCAAAGTATCAGCAAGATAAGGGACAGAAAAAAATTTGAAAAGTTATTTTGTTTCAATAACTTTCATCTCAAGGTGCATAATGTGACAGATACTACAGACATTCTTCAGCATGTTAACTTTTGTATTTTTAAGTCTGAAGGCTATGGAGAATAAATGAGTGATTGATGGTAACTTTTAGAGACAGTACCAAAAGAATGCATTGTTTAAGCAATTTCTCTATGCTATCTATTAGATTATGTAAGGAACAGAATATATAAATCAAGAGGAGAAAAAGTATGTAAGTATTCTGGGCATACATCCAGACAAAACTGTAATTTAAAGATAAATGCACTCTCATGTTCAAAGTAGAACTATTCACAACACCCAAGGCATAACAACAACCTCACGTTCAACGAGAGAGGAAAGGATAAAGAAGACATGGTACATACACAATGGAGTATTTCTCAGCCATAAAAAGGAATGAAATAAAGTCATATGCAGCAACATGGATAGACCTAGAGATTACCATACTAAGCGAAGTAAGTAAGAAAGAGAAAGACAAATTACCATATCACTTATACGCACAATGTAAAACACGACACAAATGAACTTATTCCCTGGTGGCTCAGATGGTAAAGCGTCTGCCTACAATGTGGGAGGTCCAGGTTTGATCCCTGCGTCATGAAGATCCCTTGGAGAAGGAAATGGCAACCCACTCCAGTAATCTTGCCTGGAAAATCCCATGGATGAAGGAGCCTGGTAGGCTACAGAGTTGCAAAGAGTTGGACACAACTGAGTGACCTCACTTCACAAAAGAGAACAGACCAGAGACTGCCAAGGGGGAGAGAGGATGCAGGAGGGATGGAACGAAAGCTTGGGATTAGCAGATGCACACTAGTATATATACAACGATAAACAACAAGGTCCTACTGCATAGCCCAGGAACCACACTCGATACTCTGCGAAAAACCATAATGGAGAAAAATATGAAAGGAATGTGTGTATGTGTAAATGAATCACTTCGCTGTACAGCAGAAATTAACACAATGCTATGTACCAACCATTCTTGAACAAAATTTAAAAAAAATTTTTTTAAGTAAGTAAACAGGAGGGTATGAATGTGCAGCATAAGGGCTATACAACTTCTAATGTCCCCTTGTTAATTCAACATTCTTAGAAGTAAACTCAGGGAGGTAGTGTGGTGGTACTTTTTTGGTTCTTGTGAGGGGGTTTTTGGAGGAAGAAGAAAAGGACACTTACCTATTACTTGTTTGTGTATGGGTGTGGTGTTCCCTTCCCCCCTACCCCTCTCACCCTGAAGTAACAACAGAAGAACTCAACAGCTTCAACTATTCAACAAAGATCAGAGAGGAACATGATTTAAGGTAGTTTCTGTCCTTTCATGTGCCCTCTGAGCTCACTACACTCAGTTTCTAGGAAATAAGAGACAAATTTGAAAATAACATTTTCAATTTATCTAGCTTAATTTTTTCTATAATCTCAGGTACACAGAATTAGATAAAGCCTTATCCTTGGAATATGGTAAGCAATACTTTCAGAGAGCTAACGTTGGGCATAACTAACCAAGTCCCTAAAAAAAGAATGGTAATTCAGAAAAAATATTTGCACATATGCTATTACTTTAACATACAAATACAAAAATTGCATGCTTTTTCCAAAATTATCTATTAGTCTGTATTGTTTACTTCCATATTACACAAATGTAGTTATTTAAACAAAACGACTAGTTAACAGTGGCAATTGAAAATTAACAGGACTGATCAAAAAATATGTTTGAGAAAACAAAACAATATACTTAATAATATTCCTGTTCTCTGATACAGAAACTTATTTTAACATTTTTTAAACTTTTTATCTAAATTTAAAATTGGTAGGCAGTACCACTGTTTATTCTTAAAATATATAAATCTAAGACTTTTTAAAAGATTATACACATAATAGGACTAATAGATACATCTATATTTAATAAAAAATAAACAATTACATTTACCTTTTATTCTATGATCTTGTAGGGTATTTTTGTGTGCCTTTTTAAACAATACTTTTCTGATCTGCCTGCAGCCTTCAGGACAACCCTTTATTTTATACAGTGGTATAACTAAATACAATCAACTATAAAATAAAATTCACTATGACTTTCGGCTCTGCTCTTGAGCCTTTATCATATTTATTTCTCTCACCACTACAATGTCATGACACCAGGTGAAATATCCTTTCAATAAAATCATTTAGGCAAAGAAGAACGGGATTTTAGATCTACAGGGATTTGTTTCCAGCTTTCCCAAAAAAGCGTCTATCAACTTCGTATCTCCAGGTTTGTTTAGTAGACCAGCTGTTTGTCAATCAGGTTCTCTGCATCTATGAATTCATCATACAAGCTGCCCACGTCTAAAATGCCTATTTTTTAAGTACTTCAAAGGATAATGGATGTCATAAGTTAACAACCTCTCCTTTTCAAGGAAAATGGTTCTAAAATGCATAGATCATTTAAACATGTGAGAATAAAGGAGCATTCCAAAGAAATTATAGTTTTATTAAAGAAAGTGAGAAAACTGTGTTTAAGCTGGCTGTTCCTTTCTGGTGATATTTGAGTTCTCAATAGCTTTATTTCCAAAAAATGAGTTATTTTCTTCATTGCATGAGTTCTTGCTATAGCCTACACGTACTCAGTTCCATACGTCTATGTCAAGATTAATTTTAGTCCCTTCAAAAATCATTCAATAGTTTTAGAGAAAAATCATATAAATTTGTTTACTTAATTCTTTTCGCCACACACATTCTTGATATATTTTCAAATGAAAGATGGATATTATTCTTGTCCCATGCTTTAAAAAATATGATTACTGCCAACAATGGCATCTTTTCTACTGCTGGCAACAATGACAGCCATCTGGAAGGCAAATGTCTAAAGCTATCTCTCCTGACATCTCATAAAGCTGAAACAGTAGTATTATTTAGAACATATAGGTACAGGAAAACTGTATGTGAAAGTAAGTGAGTAATTAGAGAAAACTGGCTTCATCAGAAAGCAAAAAAGTAAGGCCAGGCAAAGGATAACATAGGGGTCTTTTAAAATACAGATAGGTAGTTCAGTCGTGTCCGACCCTTTGTGACCCCATGGACTATACAGTCCATGGAGTTCTCCAGGTCCAAATACTGGAGTGGGTAGCCTCTAGGGAATGTTCCCAACCCAGGGATTGAACCCAGGTGTCCCGCATTGCAGGTGGATTCTTTACCAGCTGCACCACAAGGGAAGCACTTTAAAATATAACGGACATTCTACTTTTAAAGCTGAGTGGAGGGTATAAAGGCATTTGTTATACCATTCTTCTTAAAACTGTGTACTCTTTTAAATACAATATATTTCATAAGGCAAATATGTAAGCACATGCACAAATGAGTGGTTTCCAAATAATATATATACTTAAAATATATTCTGTGCTAATAAGTATGAATTAAAAGGTATTATAGCATAGTCATTAAAAATACTGGAGTGTGAATCTTGAGGACTTCTGTCCATATTCATGAGGTACATCAGTCTGTAGTTTTCTAAATGATGTCTTTGTCTTTGATATGAGAATAACACTAAATTCATAAAGTGAGTTGTAAAGTGTTTCCTTTTTCTCTGTTTTCTGGAAGAGTATGTGAAATACTGGTATTATTTCTTCTTGAAATATGATAGAATTCACTAGTAAAGCCATTTAGGCCTGGGCTTTTCTTTGAAAGATCATTTTTAATTATTAATTAAATTTATTTACTCTATTTTCTATTTCTTCTTGAGTCAGTCTGACAATTAGTGTATCCCCAGAAATTTGTCCATTTCATCTAAATCGTCTAATCTGTTGTCATAAAGTTGTTTGCAATACTTCCTTTCGGGGCATCCCGGGTGGCTCAGCGGTGAAGAATCCACCTGTCAATACAGGGTTTGCCACCTGGGTTGGGAAGATCCCCTGGAGAAGGAAATCACAACTCATTCCAGTATTCTTGCCTGGGAAATCCCATGAACAGAGGAGCCTGGCCGGCTATAGTCTATGGGGTCATAACAGAGTTGGATACAACTTAGCGACTGAGCAACAACAGTATTTCCTTGTAGTCCTTTTAATTTCTATGGTCAGTGGTGATGCTTCCTCTTTCATTTACGATTCTGGTGATCTGTATCTTTTTTTATTGGCCAACCGAGCTAAAGGTTTCTAAATTTCATCGGTCATTTTACAACTTTTGATTGTACTACTGATTTTTCACTATTGTCTTTCTGTTTTCTATTTCACTGATTTCGATTTTGATCTTTACTATTTCCTTCCTTCTGTTTGCTTAGATTTGTCGTGCTTTTCTTTTTCTAGATTTTTAAGAGGAAAATGTATATTGCTGATGTGACATCTTTCTTTCTTTCTAATCAGGCATTTAAAGCTACACATTTCCCTCTACACACTTCTTTAACTGCATCCCATAAATTTTGATGCATTGTTTTTTTCATTTTCATTCAACTGAAAATATTTTCTAATTTCTTTCTGAAGTTTTGGACACAGATACTATTTAGAAATATGTTGCTTGATTTTCAAGTATTTATAAATTTCCTCAAATCCCTTTTGTTCTTGATTTCTAATTAACTCTACTATGAGAAACAAACATATTTATATGTAATTTTAATGCCTCTAAAATGAGTTGTTTTATGGCCTAACTTATGATTTATCCTGGAAAAGGAAATGGCAACCCACTCCAGTATTCTTGTCTGGAGAATCCTGTGGACAGAGGAGCCTGGTGGGCTGCCATCCACTGGGTTCCTCAGAGTCAGACACGACTGAAGTGACTTAGCAGAAGCAGCAGCATGACCTATCCTGGAGAATGCTCCATGTGTATGCTTGAAAATAACACTGTTGTTAGGAGAAGTATTCTACAGATGTATTTGGTCTAATTGGTCTAAAGTATTGTTCAATTCTTGTACCTCCTTGGTCATTTTCTAACTGTTTTACCAGTTTTGAGAGTGAGTACTGAAGTCTCCAACTGTTACTGCTGAATTGTCTATTTCTCCCTCAATTCTGTCAGTTTGTGCTTCATGTATGTGTGGGTTCTGCTGATTTATCATCCTGATCAACTGACCCTTCTACTATAAAATGTCCCTTGTTTCTCTAGTAAGGTTTTTTTGTCTTAAAATCTATTGTCTAATATTAGTACAACCACTCCAGCTCTGTTTTAGTTACTGTTTCCAAGGTTTACCTCTTACTTCCTATTATCTAAAGTTGTGTGACCCTGAATCTTAACTCTGTTATTTAGTATCCACATGACCCTGGACAGGTTAATTCAATTTTCTAATTTAATCAATTTCTTCACCTATACAATGAGAGTAATATACAAAACTATTATCAGTATAAAGCAAGGCAATGCAAGGCAGCTGTGCACAGCAGCATGAACAATGGATATTTACAAGTACTACAAATCATTATCATCTTCTTTGGCAGTATCATTATTAATTTTAATTATTAATAATCTACCATTATTAATGACACTGTCAAGGAAGAAAACAAAATGTATTCTCAAATAAATCAAAGTATATCCTCACCTTTTCTGATAAATACTGTTCATAAATTCCAACAGCAGCTGCTCTTAAAAGACCTTTGGTTTGGTTGGTTTGATGTTTTCCATCTTTCTGACGACTTGATAAAACTTCTAGCTGCTGCTGGGCTGTAACGCGGTATCCTTCCACTGTCATCCAAAAGAAGAGATGTGCCTGACCTCCAGTTTGCTGCATGTAGTCTACCAAATAAAATCCATAACAACAGAGATATTAAAGTCACAGATTTTTGAGTGCATACAGCTGTAAGACAAGTTAAGAAAGGGAGTATTTGAAAGTTTTAAATACTTAAAACTCTGCATTTTGAACATGTTTAGAAAATACTGGAGGTTAAAAAAATGTCATATCATAAATTGGTTAAGCTGAAGAGACCAATTATGCAGAAAAAAGAAATGGAAGTGCATTTTAAAAAACATCTGATTTTTCATGAAAACACCTCTTGGGAATAAAGCTGCCAGGGAAGGCTTCATCAGAAATAAACTACTTCGCCAACATTCAGCTTCCATTCTCAATAAAAATTACTAGTCATAATTATTACTATTATACCACATGTACTAAAAATAAAGATTGGGCTCTTCAATAAGCCATGCATTTCTTTTTGTTCATGAATATGAAGTCTCAGGGAGCTTTGCTGGAAATATCCCCTAGATAAAAGGAATTCTGATGTAACATTAATAAAATCAGTAAACATTTATATATAAAATAGTATAAAAATAAGACCCTTCCCCTGTTCATGCAGAAAAATGATACAAGCAGGTTATATATATCATGCTTTCCTGATAAAGTCTCTTTCTCAAATAACTAAAATTCATACTAGAATCCCTTGGGGTTTATTTAAAAGCAGATTAGCAAATGCACACTGGAACTACAGTAAGCATTTATTTCCTTAAAACCAAAGAAATCTCTATCCCTATGGTTTCTAAAAAAAGTGCAGGATATTTCGGAAAATGAGGAGTGGAAGAGAGATACATATGGCATGCCTAATATCAAGTATTTAAAATTTAACCATATATACAATTATAAAAAACTTGAGGGTTATGTTATTTTTATAAAATGGATTTACCTACCCATAAAAAACTGTAGTGCAACATTGTCTACAAGAATGCTGTCCAGGGGAACTGTGCAAAGTTTCCCAAAGTTTGCTGCCAGTTTCACAGTATTTATTTCCTACAAATAAAAGATTTTGCAGATTAACATCTCATCTATCCACTCACTACATTAAAGATCCTTACATAGATGTAAAAAATTAAGTTAAAATGGAATAAAGTTTTCTTTTCTTGTACAGGTGGGTTACCAATAAAAAGTATCAGCTCACTGAATTTCCTAGAGTTATTTTAAGAGCTGCTTATTAAATATACATTAAAAGTACAATAAGCACTCATTTCTTCTAACAAAAAATAAACCTAAATGTATTTTCATGTATTCTCTATTTTTACCCATTCCAAACATAAATGAACATGATAGGGACTAAAGGGGATATAATGTTGAAGAATAAACAAATCCCAATATTTTGAAGTACAGGATGAAGTCTACCTACTAGAAAAAAATAAAATATTCCTAACTAGTAGATTTGCTAATTGGGTAAAAATTCTGAATCTTTGTAGAAAATGGGTTTCTTTTCAGTCTACCTAAATGGTAAATTACATAAACTTCAAAGCAAGAAAACTACCTATACAGAGAGAAAAAAGTTTTTAACAGGTTCAAAATTTAGAGAATCTACACATCCAGCACTGTGCTAGATGCATTATACATATTACTTCATTAAATCTCCACAGCAATCCTGTTGGATGAACATCACCAATCCCACTCAACAGATAAGAAAATTGATGATCAGAAAAGTTGCTTATGATAGCAAAGCTGGTTAGAATGAATCAGTGTCCTCAAAGTCTGATGCCCTTTCCACAAAAACCAACAATGTTTCTGGAAATGATTTCCACCAGCTTCTCTGCATTCCCAAATCCATACTCACAAACCTCTATTTTCAAAAAAAGATGCACAGGTTTTCTGAAAGTTAGATAAGGCTGCCTTATTCAGGGGCAGATACTAAATTAGGCAGTAGGTGATATATAAAGGAAAAGGAAGATGATTTGAAAAGAGAAGAAAAAAACTTCTCTTGTAATTAGTATCTCCTCTTCATATAAGAACATAAGAACAACAACAGGTTACTGATTTGAAATTATTGGGGTAAAGCAATCTACTGCAAATTGCACTCATTTCACATACTAGCAAGGTAATGCTAAAATCCTTCAAGCTGGACTTCAACAGTATGTGAAACAAGAATTTCCAGATGTATAAGCTGGATTTAGAAAAGGCAGAGGAAGCAGATCAAATGGCCAACATCCATTGGATCATCGAAAAAGAGCGAATTCCAGAAAAACATCTACTTCTGCTTCACCGACTATGCTAAAGCCTCTGACTGTGTGGATCACAACAAACTGGACAATTCTTCAAGAGATGGGAATATCAGACCACCTACCTGTCTCCTGAGAAACCTGTATGTAGTCAAGAAGTAACAGTGAGCATCAGTCATGGGACAACAGACTGGTTCAAAGTTGGGAAAGGAGTACATCAAGGCTGTACACCGTCACCTTGCTTATTTAACTTATATGCAGATGACATCATGTAAAATGCTAGGCTGGATGAAGCTCAAGCTGAAATCAAGACTTCCTGGAGAAATATCAGTAATCTCAGACATGCAGATGACACCACCCTAATGGCAGAAAATGAAGAGGAACTACAGAGCCTCTTGATGAAGGTGAAAGAGAGTAAAAAAACTGGCTTAAAACTCAACATTCAAAAAACTAAAATCATGGCATCTGGTCCTATCACTTCATGGCAAGTAGAAGGGAAAGCAATGGAAACTGACAGACTATTTTCTTGTGCTCCAAAATGACCGTGGAAGGTAACTGCAGCCATGAAATTAAAAGAATTTAATTTTTTTGAAAGAAAAGGTATGATAAACCTAGACAGCCCATTAAAAAGCGGAGACATCACCTTGTCAACAAAGGTCCACATTGTCAAAGCTATGGTTTTTCCAGTAGTGAAAGTTGGATTATAAAAAAGGCTGAACACCAAAAAACTGATGCTTTCAAACTGTGGTGTTGGAGAAGACTCTTGAAAGTCCCTTGGACTGCAAGGAGATCAAATCAGTCAATCCTAAAGGAAATCAATCCTGAATATTCATTAGAAGGACTGATGTTGAAGCTGAAGCTCCAATACTTTGGCCATCTGATGGGAAGAGTCAACTAACTGGAAAAGATCCTGGTGCTGGGAAAGATAGAAGGCAGAAAGAGAAGGGGACAACAGAGGATGAGATGGCTGGATGGCATCACTGACTCGATGGACATGAGTTTGAGTAAACTCCAGGAGATGGTGAAGGACAGGGAAACCTGGAGTGCTGCAGGCCATGGAGTCACAGAGTTGGACACGACTGAGCGACTGAACAACAACAAAGCAATCTAGCACCAGCACATGACTTCCCCTATCTCAGTCTTCCTTCCTCAGATTTTATCACTTCTTGATTCTGTCCAGCAGTAGCTCTATAGATATGGGATGGAGAAGAGTATTCACTATCACTTTATTTGTAATAAAAAGAATAAAGCATCTCTAAGACTTTAAGATGAGCAGTATGGTTAAAAAACCTCTATCTCTGAAGATTCTGAATTTTCATCCAAAGGAATACATGCTACATCTTGAGCTATTAAAAAAGGTAAAGCTTCATATTCAAATCAGAATTGACAAGCTTCCAAACAAGATTTCTAAATTTTAAAAGGAATTCAGTATCAGAAGTATTTAGGCAAACAGACTTAAGTAACGACGTTAAGGATCACCAAGGGCGTCCCTGGTGGCTCGGCAGTGAGGGACCTGCCTGCCAGTGCAAGAGACATGAGAGAGGAGGGTTCATTCCCTGGGTGGGAAGATGCCCTGGAGGAGGGCATGGAAACCCACTCCAGTATTCTTGCCTCGAGAATCCCATGGACGGAGGAGCCTGACAGGCTACGGTCCATAGTCTCGCAAAGAGTTGAACACAAGCATCGCTAACTTTAAGATCTAGGTAGGGTAACTAGATAAAGAAACAACAATCACAAGTGAAACCATATTATTCTTCTATTCTGAATTTACATGCGTATATAAATTCATTTTAAAATATACTTAACTGAACAAACACAGACATACATACACCTGCACACACATTTATGACAAATATAGGCCTCAAATAATGTGTAAGTTATAATTATACTAGCAAACTAAATTCAAAATTTAAAAATAAGTCTTCTATTCCTTAAGGAATTTAAGTATACTGCAAAATTACAAGACCAAAGAGTCACAAATCAATTTCCAATAGAAAACAGGCATAAAAAAGGTGATTACACTAAAAACTAAAGGTAGTAAAAAATTTGTTTCAAAGCCCCAAATCTTTGCTCTCTTTTACAATGAAACTCATCCAAACAGCTACCTATAATAACTGTTTCTAATTCATTTCTTCCCATTTTCTCCTGACTCCCATCAGGGTTTTTCTCCACTATTCAACCAAAATGCTCTCATGGATCACCAATAATACCCCTGTGGCAAACCCAACAGTCAATTCTAAATCTTCATTTTATTCAACTTATTAGTAGTCTGTGATACACCTGATCTCTGACTTTTTTCAGCATTTTCTATACTTTGCTTCTAGGATATCACACTCCTTTCCTTCAATCTCAACAGTCACTTACAGTTTGTTTGGCTAGATCTTTCACTTTGTCTTAAACACTAGTAACTGAAGTGCCTCAGGACAAAGTCTTTGATATTTTTTCTTAAATTCATTCTTTTCAGTAATCTCATCCAATCTCTCAACTTTAAACAAGCAGCTGATAATCCTGAGGATTCTCAAAGTTTATTTCATTCACAAAATTTCCCTTGAAGTTGAATTTACCAATTAGAATGTCTACTTTAACATCAAACAGGGATCTCAAGCTAAAACATGCAAAACTTGATTCTCTCTTCCAAACTTGCTCCTCCCTCAGTTTTATTCATTTTAGTGAATAACAACACTATTCATGCAGGTGCTCAGTCCAAAAAACTTTGGAATCATCCTTGAATTCTTTTTTCTCTCTAAACCCACATTTAACACATTAGCAAATACTATCTCCAATTAACTTCTCACATGAACCCCCCCAGACATCTCTTACTAAACAAAAACAAGAGTCGTGTAAATGATCTGTTAGTTTCCATTCTTGTCTCCACCACTCCACCACAATCTACTCATCACAAAGAGCCCAAGTAATCATTTTACCTCATAAGTCTGATTATGTCACTTGCCAGGGCGAATGTCCAATGGATTTCTATCACAGTCAGATTTTTAAAAATCTTACTATGGAAGGTAAAACCATGTATGATCTAACCCCTAAGGTTCCTCTCTAAATTCACTCCTACTACAAATCCTATCATACATTCCATACCAGTCACAATAAGTGAAGTCGCTCAGTCGTGTCCGACTCTTCGGGACCCCATGGACTGTAGCCTACCAGGCTCCTCAGTCCAAGGGATTCTCCAGGCAAGAGGACTGGAGTGGGTTGCCATTTCCTTCTCCAGGGGATCTTCCCGACCCAGGGGTTGAACCCGGGTCTCCCACATTGTAGGCAGACGCTTTACCATCTGAGCTACCAGGGAAGACCAGGCACGTTCCTATTCCAGGGACTTCACATTTGCTCTCACCTTTGCATGAAAGATTTAAAAAAGGGGAAAAAAAATTCACTGGAGTCTCTCATATTATTCAAATCTCTCTATGCTCAAATGTCACCAGATCTCTCAGCACCTATCTAAACCACTCTGACATTCTCTACCACCCTACTTTGCTTTACTTATTCTCTTTCACATTTTAGGTTTTTTTTTTTTTTACATTTTATTTTTTCACATTTCACTTACATTTCTTACATAATATATCAATTTATATATTGGTTTATTTTCTGATTCTGCAACTAAATGTAAGCTTCATAAGAGAGATTTCCATCTGTTAGATCCATCTAAAATGGTGTCCAATGTACAAAATTCAATAAATGCTGAATTTTGAATAAATGACACAGGAGTAGATAAATGCATAAATCAAGAAAAAGAATTTACTTTCCATGGAGTATTTTAATCCCATTAGCTTGTTTTAATAAATACTTACTACATTGTGTAACATAAATTTTCTCTAAATTTTTAGTTCTTCTGTAAAATGCCACACTGGTTAATACTCGACCTTTTGTTATTTTCTGGATATTTTAGTGAACAGAAATTATCTATAGTTAAATATTAATTCAAGAGTATTTTACTCACTTTGCCTGACTGCAACCGTTGTATTCTTGAGTCACATACTTTCTTCACAAATAATAAGCTATTTATTTGATTCTTGATGGTGTTGATATCTAAAAATAAACAAATTGATTATGAGGTAAAGTGACAGTGTTCCTTGTGAAATACTTTAAACATACACTTACTGTAATTTAACATAATAACCAATGAATACAGCAATCATTTTATTTAAAAAAGAAATAACTAGAAATTTTATAGTGAGAATTATTTAATTAAAATTAAACTATGTCAATTATCTTTAGCGATAACTGCAATAATAAGAGTCTCACATTCAGAAAACTATTGTGCTTTATTCTCAGAACATATTAGCATAATAAAAGTCAGATTCAGTTAAGGTGAAAACAACTAATAACATAAAATGACATTTAGGTAAATTGAAGTTTTGTTTGAATATACAGTAATTATTAAAGAAGTAAAACATTCTTATTCTTAAATAAATTACTTACCATCACCAGCTGTATCTAGAGATCGAAGATACTGTAATTCTTCTGCTGCTTTATCTCTGACTGCTTCGAGCTCTCCAATATTGTCACTCAATTTAATAATGTTCATAAAGGCCTCATAGTTGCAATTAGAATCACGGATCTGAAAATAAAATTTAAAACACAGATGGGAGGGAGATTCACATAAGTGAAAACATAATCTTGAATACCTACCGTGGGCCAGGCACAACTGTCCTCAAACAAAATGAAAATCTCTACTCATGGTACTTACATTCTCCTGGGTCACAGACTATTAACAAAGTAAGATATTTAGCACACTGTGAAGTCAAGAGCACACTCAGAATGTCTGATGACAGCAAGGTGGCCATGGTGACTAGAGCTAAACCAAAGAAATGCAGAAGAGCAAGGGAGATGAGTGCTAATGGAAAAGCAGGCAGGACAGAGTTTAGTAAATGGTTTGGCTTTCACTGTGAATGGAATGAAAAGTTATTGGAGGATTTTAAACATTAAGATGGCATTCTCTGACATAAATTTAACAGAACCACTGTAACGACATGAATAACTGTTATTTCATCCTTCTTCTCCAGCCACTTGCTATTTAAGATTAAGAATGGAGTAGAACATTAAGTTGGATTTAACCAGAATGTGGTTTCACCAAGCAAATAATAAACTGAGAGAGAGAGGAAAGGTAGTTGAGAATGTTGTAAAGGAACTAATGACTATGACTGTCAATAAATTTAAGCCAAATAAAACAGTAAAGGGAACTATGAAAAGGTAGCCAACTTGGTTGTCCATTCTAAACAGCAGTCCAAGTACTGGTGATTGCCAAAGTTGAGAACTGTGGCGAAAAGAAGTTGGGGGTGGGGGGGGTGAGCAATAAGCACATGAAAAAATGTTCAAAATCATTCATCATCAAGGATGTGCAAGTTAACCATAACAAAATGAAAATGCCAAATATCTATTAGAATGTGCAGAGACCAAATTTGGTCTTCACATTCTCAAATAGTGCAAGTAGAAGTACAAAATTATAACACAACTTCAGATAACTACTTGGAGATGTCTCTCACTTTGTATAAATTTTACTTCAATAATAAAAGAAGTAAGTTATTAAAGACCTGATTTTTCTAATACATTAAGAAACAAGTAAACAGCTGTTCACTAATCTGCTCTAGTAGGGGATAACAATATAAACCAATTAAGTAAACTATTCCACAGTCAGAGAGAACAGTTTACCATTAACTAGTTTGTCCCCAAAAGATATAAAATATATATTTTGAGATAAATAATGCAAATTGGCCCATACTATCTTTAGAAACGACTTAAAAACTTAAAACTTCTGTTAGGTAATATGAACATTTCTATTTGGAGGATATATGTTACTACTACACTGCTCTAAACTTTTCCTTTCAAATAAAAATAAACTATACAATTAGGTATCATTAATATGAAATTTACCTGGCAGAAAGAGTAAGAACTGAGCCAATTTTATAATATCTATGTGCAAAGGGTTTTCCACATAAATAATGTCAAGAGAATAAACCAGACAACAAAGCAAGCTAAAGATCCTTTATTGATATATTTTTCACTTTTAAATATATTTTCTGATATTTTACAGCAAAGCACAATAGTGATCAATCACTGTTTTAAATAAAAAAGACCCCAACCATCATACATAATAATAGTACCAGTCCAACTATGCAGAGAACAAGTAAAAATCTGGTCGCTTGAATTCTGTTCTGAGTATGTGTTAAGTCCCTCAAAAATGTTTTTACCATGTAACTAATTATACACTTAATATAAGCTCAGCAAAGTAAAAATTGAAAACTAAAGAAAAATAGAAATAAAAATAATTCCTAACCCCATGAGTGAGAGATAACCGTAATATTCTCGTAAACTTGCATCCTGCTCTGTACTATAGGTAAGGTTATACAGTACTGTAAACTGATTTTTAAGGTTAGTATATGATATTCATTTTTGTGTTACAAAAAAATTTTTTTTAAGATATTTACTCTTACTTTACTACTTAAACGTTTTAAAATTTTACCTTTTTCCTACTTCTTAAAAAATCACTTAAGACATAACCAATACTTGTAGTAAAGTGAAACAAACAAAAGAGAAAACTTAAAATTTTCAGGATACTACCTCTCTATTACAACAGAGGATGAGATGGTTGGATGGCATCACCAATTCAATGTACATGAGTTTGGGCAAGCTCTGCGAGTTGGTAATGGACAGGGAAGCCTGGCGTGCTGCAGTTCATGGGGTCGCAAAGAGTCAGACAGGACTCAGCAACTGAACTGACTGACCTCTCTATTAACATTTCAGTCAGTATACAACTTATCAGAATCAGTCATTCATAAACATATAATTACTTATATATTTATTTTTAAAGGAATAGATATCTATACACACATCATTTTTAGTTGTCCTTTTCACATAAAAAATAAACACATCTTTTCATAAAGACATACTATCATCATAGTATAAATAGTATTTATTGCATCAATATTCCTAAACTATTCCTCTATTTTGTTGTTCAGTTGTTCAGTCCTGTCTGACTCTGCGACCCCATGGACTGTAGCACAACAGGCTTCCATGTCCGTTACTATCTCCCAGAGTTTGCTCAAACTCATGTCCACTGAGTTGGTGACGCCATCCAACCATCTCATCCTCTGTCACCCCCTTATCCTCCTGCCCTCAATCTTTCCCAGCATCGGGGTCTTTTCCAGTGAGTCAGCTCTTTGCAGGTGGCCAAAGTACTGGAGCTTCAGCTTCAGCATCAGTCCTTCTAATGAATATTCAGGACTGATATCCTTTAGGATTGACTGGTTGGATCTCCTTGCAGTCCAAGGGGACTCTCAAAAGTCTTCTCCTACACCACAGTTCAAAAGCGTGAAATATTTGGCTCTCAGCTTTCTTTACAGTCCAATTCGCACATCTGTACATGACTACTGGAAAAACCAGCTTTGAGTAGACAGACCTTTGTTAGCAAATTGATATTTCTACTTTTTAATATGCTGTCTAGATTTGTCACAGCTTTTCTTCCAAGGAGTAAGTGTCTTTTAATTTCATGGTTGCAGTCACCAACCACAGTGATTTTTGGAGCCCAAGAAAATAAAGTCTGTTACTGTTTCCATTGTTTCCCCATCTATCTGCCATGAAGTGATGGGACTGGATGCCATGATCTTAGTTTTTTGAATGTTGAGTTTCAAGCCAGCTTTTGCACTCTCCTCTTTCACTTTCATCAAGAAACTCTTTAGTTCCTCTTCACTTTCTGCCATAAGGGTGGTGTCATCTGCATATCTGAGGTTGCTGATATTTCTTCAGGCAATCTAGATTCCAGCTTGAGCTTCATCCAGCCCAGCACTTTGCATGATGTACTTTGCATGTACATTAAATAAGCAAGGTGACAATGTACAGCCTTGATATACTCCTTTCCCAATTATGAACCAGTCTGTTGCTCCATGATCGGTTCTAACCATTGCTTCTTGACCTGCACTCAGGTCTCTCAGGAGGCAGGTAAGGTGGTTTGGTATTCCCAACTCTTGAAGAATTTTCAACAGTTTGTTGTGATCCACAGTCAGAGGTTCCAGCATAGTCAATGAAGCAGAAGTAGATGTTTTTCTAGAATTCCCTTGCATTTTCTATGATCCAGTGGAAGTTGGCAATTTGATCTCTGGTTCTTCTGCCTGTTCTAAATCCTCCTTGTACATCTGGAGGTTCTCGGTTCGTGTACTGTTGAGGCCTAGCCTGAAGGATTTTGAGCATTACCTTGCTAGCATGTGAAATGAGTGCATTTGTGCCTCTATGCTGAATACTTAAATTGCTTTCTTTTTTTTAGTATTATTAGCAAGATTGCCATTACTAGTCTTAAATCAGATTGTTATAACCTTGTTTATTAGCACTTTAGGATAAATTTCAGGAGCAGAATTCCTAACCAAAGGTTTTTTTTTTTTAGCTATGGGGATATGTAAATTTTTAAAGCTCTAGGTACAGTCTAGCAGGACTCTAAATAAGCTGACAAAGGAAATGAAAAATTAAGTTCTGTGAACTCCATGAAAGATTCTAGGAACACAAAGCTAGGAAGACAATTTCTGCCTACAGGTAACCCATAAGCTGATGGGAGAGACAAACATTGTAATAGCAACAATGAAAAATGGCAAGTTTGATAATGGATATGATTAAACAAAGAACAATCAAATACTTCCTTCCTAGAAAAGCTAGACTGAGTAAAAGAAGACAATGTGGGAGAGGAATTTCAGATTCACAAAAAGCAACCAAAGACTTAGGTAACCATCAAAGTAATTCCCAGCAATAGCCCAATTACACACTCTGCCTCAACCATTAATTTGCTGAGGAAAAGCATATACAATCAGAAAAAGAATTAGAACTAGCAAACTTAATAACCACTAACCCTTTGATACATCCGATGAATGAGAAAACTGTGAGTTATCTAACTCACTGACACACTACGCAACTTAAAGAAACGTATCTAGAACTTAGATCTTCTCAATCTAATGTTCTTCCCTCCAGATTTCTCTCTACTATTTAGCACAAAATTTAAATTGCATCCTACTTAAGTAGTTCAGATTAATTTAAAATCAAATAGCAGTTTTAAGAAGTACTTATCATCTATACGCACAGATAAGAAAACATTCTTTTTTAAATTTAAATAAGTAGAAACAGCAGGAACACTGTAAGGAAGATTATCTTATCAACCTACTTCCTTAAGGAAAATCTGGCTAGTGCATTCACACATAAGCAAACAGAAATATTGAAAATATAAAAGATTACCTTGAGATATATTTTTACTTAATTTTTTATAAATTATTGCTTAATCATCCTGACTTTCAAATCATATTTATACCTTTTAAAAAACTGTTTTAAAAACAAGAGCTGCATTTTAGAAAGTACATACCATCCATATGATATATTGATTAATATAATCAGGATCACTGAGTTGATTTATCAATGGAAGAAGAACTCCACGTGCAAGGATTTCCTGGACAAAAATTTTAAAACACAAAAACAGATTTAATCTCATACACTTTTCAAATCAATAGCACAGTGTAAATTTCCTAACTCAATGCTGTTACTGAAGAAAAGTAAGGTATAGATAAAAGTAAACTTAGTAAATGACATGATTTACAAAAAGATGAGCTAGCATACATAAGTTGAATAAGATGAAGCCATCTTTATCAACTTAGATACATGGCCACAATAGTAAGTACAGTTGAGTGAGAAAAAGCAAAAGGATACCTCTAATAAGTTAGCATTTGTATCCATTTTTAAAAGGCAAAACATGGCACTATATGTATTTATGGACTCCTACTTCTATATTAAAAGTATAAAAACAAAAAGAGATAAGATACCAATCAGAACAGTGATTGCCTTCAAGGGAGGGATAGAGCAACTACAGCAAAATGTTAACACTGCTTAAATCTGGTTTGTTGGTGCATAAATGTCTATTGCATTAACTCCATCTGTGTCGGTCTGAAATTTATCTAATACAAGATAATAAAGTAACATTTATGGTAACACAATTAGTTAATATTCTTTGACTATACCTTCCCATTCTCTGCAGCTGTTTACACTTCTATCAAGATTCTGGCTCTCCTCCTAGGACTGACTACAGAATTAATTTTCCAATGAAATAAACCCTGACTGTCCTGATGAACACTATTCACTTATATGTTTAAAATACACTCATGCTTTGTTTGTATTTACGGCATTTATCACATACCATTCTTTAAGTAATTCTGTGTCTTCCACTTCTCTTAATACACTACAGCTCTCTAGGAACTTTTTGTATGTGAGTGAGATTAGTTAAAAGAGATAAAAGATTTCTCTCTCTTCAAAAATACTCTTATCTTCTCAAGGTCACTGTCCTAAATATGGTATGACTTTGATAAACATTAAAGGCTGCAAATCGAGAAACTAAGTGGCTCAGATGATAAAGCATCTGCCTACAATGCAAGAGACCTGGGTTCAATCCCTGGGTTGGGAAGATCTCCTGGAGGAGGAAATGGCAACCCACTCCCAGTGTTCTTGCCTGGAGAATCCCATGGACAGAGGAGCCTGGCGGGCTATGGTCCATGGGGTCGCAAAGAGTGGGTCATGACTGACTGACTTCACTTTCACTTTCAAACTGAGACAATAGTCGACCTGTTTACTCTTCAGTCCTCTATGCTTGTGATGTCTAAATTTATGAAACAGCATTTCTTATGAATACGAGAAAGGCTAAATAGCCACAAGTTTAATAGGATGTTTCCCTTCTCTAAGTAAAGGACAAATTTATTTATTCCTTTCCAGATTTCTAATTTATCTGTGCCGTTTTCTGGTGTAAGTTCACAGAAGAGAGCCTTCACTTTGTTTTCCTTTGGAGAAATATTTTATATAAATTCTACTTCTATAAGTTTTACAAGTATTTGACAACTTTTACCACATGATCAATTAATATTTCTAAAAGGCACTAATAGAGGCTCCAATAACTTTCTGAAATGTCTTTTAAGACATCCTCCAGTCTCAAATTAGAAAATTGCTTATTTTGGATTAGCTTTAATTTTTAATTTTAAAAATTATATTTATTTATCTAATTTCTCCCCTCAAATTATGTATCTGACCACACATGCTCAAATTTTAAATGTATTCCGTAATGATAAAATTCACAAACAAAAAAGTGCTTTATTCAAAGTTTATTTTCAAAGTGAGTAAAACACATAAGGGTAACCTTTTTGAATAAGTTTACTGCTTCATATTAGTTAAGGCAAACAGTCATTATGTCTCTGAAAACTACTTTGATCTCCTAATTTGCCTCATGAAAGAGTTTGGTTAGTTATGTGTGTGTGTGTGTGTGTCTGTGTGTTTAGTTGCTCAGTCATGGACTCTGCAACCTCAATGACTATAGCCACCAGGCTCCTCCGTCCATGGGATTCTCCAGGCAAGAACACTGGAGCGGGCAGCCATGTCCTTCTACTACAGGGGATCTTCCTGACCCAGGGATCGAACCCAGGTCTCCTGCATTGCAGGCAGATTCTTTACCATCTGAACCACGAGGGAAGCCCCTGGTTAGTCAAATGACTCAATAATTCCTATACAATTTTAGTGAGAGCAAAATATTGCAAATATTATAAAATATGCTACAATTTTCATATAATTTTCATACACTTTAAGACAAGCATCAGCTGTCAAATATGAAGATTTAAAAGTTACAGAGTCACTGAGGCCATGAGTCTTTATCAATAAAACATGGTAATGGGAGAAAGCAGAGGCAATTAAATAGCAATATCTCAGTCAAATGCTGTGATTTGTACAACTCATACAAAGGATTCATATAAAGGAAAGAACTAAGAACTCTCTAATCTGTTATTTAATCTGAACAAAGTGCCTTTTGGGGGAACCTAGATTTAATTATCAACAAAGGAAAGCTGATAAAGAACTATCAAGTTAATAGAAAAACAAACTGACCACAAAGCTCTACAGTTACACTCACTCAATTAGACTCAAGCAAAAAGAAATGAAATATTGGTCTAAAAGAGCAATCTATGGCAAACATATTTGTTCTTTGTTTAAACAACCCTACTTATTTTAAACGTATTTTAAACCCATGTAACGAGACTGATCGTCATTCCCATCTCCTAAAAGTCACTTTAATCTTTAAAGAGTAGCAGTAGCATGTGCCCCATAGCCAGCAAGAAGGTCAAATAGGTTTCCGCTCAGATCATGAACTCCTTATCATCAAAATCAGACTTAAATTGAAGTAGGGAAAACCACTAGACCATTCAGCTATGACCTAAATCAAATCCCTTACGATTATACAGTGGAAGTGACAAAAAGATTCAAGGGATTAGATCTGAAAGAGTGTCTGAAGAAATCTAGATGGAGGTTTAAGACATTGTATAGGAGACAGGGATCAAGACTATCCCCAAGAAAAAGAAACGTAAAAAAGCAAAATGGCTGTCTGAGGAGGCCTTACAAATAGCTGTGAAAAGAAGACAAGTGAAAAGCAAAGGAGAAAAGCAAAGGCATATCCATTTGAATGCAGAGTTCCAAAGCATAGCAAGGAGAGATAAGAAAGCCTTCTTCAGTGATCAGTGCAAAGAAATAGAGGAAAACAGAATAGGATAGACTAGAATTCTCTTCAAGAAAATTAGAGATACCAAGGAACATTTCATGCAAAGATGGGCACAATAAAGGACAGAAATGGTAGGGACCTAACAGAAGCAGAAGATATTAAGAAGAGGTGGCAAGAATACACAAAAGAACTATACAAAAAAGATCTTCATGACCCAGATAATCATGATGGTGTGATCACTCACCTAGAGTCAGACATCCTCAAATGCGAACTCAAGTGGGCCTTAGGAAGCATCTCTACAAACAAAGCTAGTGGAGGTGATGGAATTCCAGTTGAGCTATTTCAAATCCTAAAAGATGATGCTGTGAAAGTGCTGCATTCAATATGCCAGCAAATTTGGAAAACTCAGCAGTGGCCATAGGACTGGAAAAGGTCACTTTTCTTTCCAATTCCAAAGAAAGGCAATGCCAAAGAGTGCTCAAACTAATGCACAATGGCACTCATCTTACATGCTAGTCAAGCAATGCTTAAAATTCTCCAAGCCAGGCTTCAACAGTATGAGAACCGTGAACTTCCAGATGTTCAGGCTAGATTTAGAAAAGGCAGAGGAATCAGAGATCAAATTGCCAACATCCGCTGGACCATCAATAAAGCAAGAGAGTTCCAGAAAAACATTTCTGCTTTATTCACTATGCCAAAGCATTTGACTGTGTGGATCATGACAAACTGTCGAAAATTCTTAAAGATAGGAATATCAGACAATCTGACCTGCGTCTTGAGAAATCTGTATGCAGGTCAGGAAGCAAGTTAGAACTGGACATGGAACAACAGAGTTGTTCCAAATAGGAAAAGGAGTACGTCAAGGCTGTATATTGTCACCCTGCTTATTTAACTTATATGCAGATTACACCATGAGAAACACTGGGCTGGATGAAGCACAAGCTGGAATCAAGATTGCCGAGAGAAGTGTCAATAACCTCAGATTTGCAGATGACACCACCCTTAAGGCAGAAAGTGAAGAATTAAAGAGCCTCTTGATGAAAGTGAAAGAGGAAAGTGAAAAATTTGGCTTAAAACTCAACATTCAGAAAACGAAGATCAGGGCATCTGGTCCCGTCACTTCATGGCAAAAAGATGAGGAAACTGTGGAAATAGTGGCAGACTTCCCTTTTGGGGGCTCCAAAATCACTGCTGATGGTGACTGCAGCCATGAAATTAAAAGATGCTTACTCCTTGGAAGGAAAGTTATGACCAACCTAGACAGCATATTAAAAAGCAGAGACTTTACTTTGCCAACAAAGGTCCATCTATTCAAAGCTATGGTTTTTCCAATAGTCATGTATGGATGTGAGAGTTGGACTATAAAGAAAGCTGAGCACTAAAGAACTGATGCTTTTGAACTGTGGTGCTGGAGAAGACTGTTGCGAGTTCCTTGGACTGCAAGGAGATCAAATCAGTCCATCCTAAAGGAAATCAGTCCTGAATAATCATTGGCAGGACAGATCCTGAAGCTGAAACTCCAATCTTTTGGCCACCTGATGTGAAGAACTGACTCACTGGAAAAGACTGTGATGCTGGGAAAGATTGAAGGCAGGAGGAGAAGGGGATGACAGAGGATAAGATGGCTGGATGGCATCACCAACTCAATGGACATGAGTCTGAGTAAACCCCAGGAGTTGGTGATGGACAGGGAGCCCTGGCGTGCTGCAGTCCATGAGGTCACAAAGAGTCACACACAGCTTAACAACTGAACTCAACTGAACTATGCATTAAAATTGATTATCTGATTGGTATATGCTATGTGGCAGGCACTGTGAAAACCCTAAGTACACAGTGATACAGAATACAGAAATGAAGAAATGGCCCCTGTCTTCTAAGACTTGGGATCCGTTAGGGGAAAGAGGCATCAAGCAAGTTAATCCAACAATCAAACTTTCATGTTAAAATATGGTAAATGTTAAGAAGGAATACAGTACCTACCTACACTAATAGGGAATTATGAGGGGGCTTTTAGAGAAGGAGGCATTTCTGAGGAAGTGAGAAATGAGGGACAAATATAATTTAGCCAAGAGAATAAGGCAAATCATTCTAAGCAGATGAAAGAAAGAGTATGAGATAATCCTATAGTGGACAGAAATGGCACTCTGGAAAAGCCTGTGTGGTTGGAATACAGTGACAGCATGGAATGAAGGCCAGAGAGGTTAAACAAAGACACGTCACCCACAGTCTTATTATAAGCCTTTTAAAAGGACTTAAGACTTAAAACATTTGCTGGGTGGTCATTACTGGGTTGAAGAAAAGACTTATAAAAGGCAGACAGGATTTGGAGGCAAGAGTAAGACTTCCATCTTGTGCATGCAAAGTTTAAAAGGGCTTTGCATCAATGAAATAGTGATTTTAGTAGGCAGCTGGTGGACAGTTCAGAAGAGAAAGATATAGATTTGAAAGTTATTAGCATTTGGATGGTGTTTAAAGTCACAGGGATGGATGAGCAAGAAGGCAGAGAATTGCACAGTCTGGATATTTAAAAGTTAAGCAGAGTATCAGGCAGGCAAAGACTGCTCCAAATAATTAGCATGAATGAATATGATGACTGATGAGCAGTATCTTCCTTCAGTGGTAGATGTGAATCTAGACACAGACATGCCAGATGTTGATAATGACCAGCCCAAGTCTTCAATGTATATAATCTATCAGACTCTCCCCATCAAAATCAAGCATTTTCTATTCATTTCACAGTATCATTACCCTACCTGAAAGTGCACTGAACTAAAGTTAGAGAGCTATTAGGATACTGCTAAATTGATACTGCTTAAATAATAATAAGCAAAAAAACAGTTTAGGAACTGGTGTATCTGTTTTGCAGAATGGCAGACGAAAAAGATCATAAACTTTCATTTTCAGTATAGTCAGAAACTTTTAATTTTACCCATTCAGCCAGGGTAAGGACTAACGTAGCTAGCATTTCTCAGTCATAACCAGTAACCAAAGTCAAAATGTTATTCCTTTACATTTGCACACAGAATTTTATTCCAAAGGATTATACCCAGGGAATGAATGAGTCCAAGATTATTGTTTTCATCTGACATTTATTTTTCAATGCCAAGAAGTAGAATCTTAGCTGCCCAGGTTTTTTTTGAAAGTTTCTATCCAGAAGTGTTACTTTAATTAGCCTAATTTAGGTAAATTTATAGGATTCACTGGAAGGACTGATGCTGAAGCTCCAATACTTTGGCCACCTGATGCAAAGAGCTGACTCGTTAGAAAAGACCCAGATGCTGGGAAAGATTGAAGGCAGGAGGAGAAGGGGATGGACAGAGGATGAGATGACTGGATAACATCACCGACTCAATGAACATGAGTTTGAGCAAGCTCGGAGAGATGGTGAAGGACAGGGAAGTCTGGCGTGCTGCAGTCCGTGGGGTAGCAAAGAGTCGGACACGACTAAGCAACTGAACAACAATGTTTAAGAAAATTTAAAACATAACCTAACTCTAGCTCAGGCAGTTCTTGAGGTATTGTCCAGGAACCTCTGGGGTGTAGGGAAAGGGAAGCAAACAGTGGTATTTTCAGAATGGAGCATGACAGTTAATGGAATGTGCTTGTGTATTTCTGTGTTCCAAAATTCCTTAGTTTTAATATTTACAATACAATAAATATTGATAGACAAAGCTCACATAAACAGAAGCTATCTGGAGTCCTTAATAATTTTTAAGTGTGTAACGGGGTCCTGGGACCAAAAATTTGGTAATTACAACTCTAAGTTTCTTTACAGCCATGTATTTGGTATGAGTTTAAGCTTACCCTGACAAAGTATCGCATGATCTTGTTCTGGAAATCTCCAGGAGGTAGCAATAAATATAATAAGACCTCACACAAATCCCTTAGGAATCCTAGAAATAAAAAAAAAGGAGCTATAATAACAGAAAATACAAAATCTCCACCTACTCTTGATATAAAACACAAGTAGCAGGATTAAGCAGTTTGCTGATTATACAAGCTTATTATCTTAATAATTAATCAGTATTCAATAAAAACCTTTGTTATTCTCCCAATAGCCAATATTCATTAATCAAAATAATATACATTTTTTTACTTTGCCCAGTTCTACCCTACATCTTGAGTTGTTGAGAAACTTCAATTATAAAAGTGTTTTCCCCCAAAAGTTTTAGTTGCACCAAGTATTCTACTCTTCTACCACACATCTCTACATACTTAAGTTATCTGCACATTTAAAAATATACTTACAATTCTTTTTCAAGAAAGAACCTCCACTAACTTTGCAGGTAATAAGAAGAAGAATATGCTCTTCTATTTTACTGATTGAAGAGGGCTTGATTTACATAAAAGAACTATACATCATTCTAACTATTTCTTACATTTAGTTATTTTATTAATGCTGCTGCTGCTGATGAAGTAGCAATTAAAAACTGAACTGCATAATAAATATAAAAAGGAAAGAAGAAAAAAGGAAAAAAGCAGAAAAGAAGGCAAAGAGAAAAGCTGAGCACATTTTAAAAATCTAAGAAAACAATTTCCACAACTAGCAATGCTTTTCTGAGTTGTTCATATCCTGACACTTCCTGGGAAGGTAATTATATAGCTGATCCTGATAATCAAAACAATATGCCAAGTAGCACAGACTAGGTCATTGTAAAACTAGGAAAAGACAACATCCTCAGCTAAAACTTATCTGGTCTAATATCTCAAAAAGAAACATCAATTCAACTCTATAAATTTTATTTGAAACATTATCATCATTCCCTTAGAAAATATTTACGATAATAGGTGTACCCTTGAGTTAGAAATAGTAAATTCAAGGTGAAGATCAAAAAAAGCAAAGTCATAAGGATAAAATGTTTGTGTTTGCTATATTTTAAAAGACGACAAAAGAAGTTCTCTTTAACTGAAAAGGCTCTCTTTAAAAGAAAAAAGAATCTGGAAATTTAAGAGTTAAAAGATACAATGAGCAGTAGTGTTTTTAATAAGCTTCCTGTCCCATAAGAATAACTTCACTCTTAGATTTTACCCTGGTATTTGTTAAATGGTTCTGCTAACTTGCCTCTACTAATGTGAACAGTTAATATGCTCAAAAAGTTATATTAAAAAGAAAACCTTCTTCATCTTTGGGAGAAGTGCACACTAAGTCACGGCAAACGTCCTTTTCCATTTCAACTTCAACTTCAAAGAAGGTATCTACAAGATCTTCTGCTGTACCTGGACAGAAAAGGAACAATTCAAGATTACAGAATAATAAAGAAAAACAGATTCTAAAATCCTAATTTTCAAATGGGATAAAGATATTATTACCTTTCACTTGATCATCCTTCTCTGTTATCTTTTGTTGGGCCTTTCTGAATACTCGTAGGTGTGTGCCAAAATCATCTACAAGGCGTGTAGTAAAATAAGGTTGCCAGTCTATTTCTTTAGACCTTATAACAAACACATTACATAGAAGGATGACTTTTTTAAATCAAAAAATAAATTTATTCAGTGACTACTGAAAAACAACATGATCATCACAGACTGAATTTATTTATACTGAGATTTTGTTCATTTAATTAGTATTACACCTTAGCATTCCTTTTCAAAACACCCATAGTTTATCAAATCTATTTAAACTCTTGAACAGTATTCTTTGAAGTACTTTATGTGTCGAAGCTTAAAAGTACTAAGTGCTTAAAATTAAAAAAAGGAAAGACAACAGGCAATTTCTCATCCCAGACATAACAACACATTAAGAGCTGAGAATGCTTTTGCTTGTTTTTAAAAGAGCACTTGGGATTTTTGATTCTTTCTGAACCCCTTCTGAATTCTCCACATTCTTCCATTTAGTTATACAGTTCAAGTTTTGAACCAAATACCTTTGGTGTGAGCCTGATTGGTTTCTGTTTGCATATATAAACACTTAAAAACTCGACTATTCAAAATAACTATAGTCACTTGGAAATGGTTTAAAGAATAATGTATAAAATACCACACTTACCCACGAAAAAGGTGGTAACTAATTTTATTAAGCTACCTAGTACTCTTATAAAAGAAGACTTCAACAAACACTGCTAATTTAGCACACCAGTGAAACATAACAAATAGATAAATACAAAACAGATTACACATCTCTTTTGATTAAGTGATATTTTTAAACAAGCATTTTTTTCAATGCTGTTCTCCTTATATTAACACTAAAATTAATTTATCCCTTTAGGAACATACCAAATAGAAGACAAAGAGTCTATTCGTAACAATGCTGAGCAATAAAGGAACAAAAAAAAGTATACCATAAGTCATCATGCTAATTCATAAAAAAAGCAAGTGAGTTAGCTAATTTCATTACTGTTTTTGGAGAAAAACCTTATAAATGTAACAGCACTGAGGAATATCACAGATGGTTGTTTTCAAATAAGAAATTATTAACATTAATATACTTTTTAATGTGCAATTATAATCTATTATACGCATGGAAAGTAAAAGTAAATTGTAAGTACATGAAATACAAATCAACTTAATAAAAATAAAGGTAACCTGAGTTCTGAGATTTGCAGAGGGGTTACCATTCAACTACATGAGCCATGTATATAAGAATACACTAAATAACAATATTCAGTCTCAACATAAAACTTAAATACTTAAACTTGGAGGTCTATAGAATCTTTGTTTCTTATTTTAAAGAGAAAAGCACTATCTGTGTAAGCATCTTTCAAAAATCCTTACATGAATATCTGTACAAAATCATCCAAACTTGAAAATTTGTATAAGAACAAAATTTACTTGGTATAGACCATAAATTCATTTAATCCATAAAAGGTTCATTCTAACAACTTTAGAAGCAGAATCTTTCAAATTGTATGTGTTCTGTTTCATGTACAGCGCTGTTATAGAATTTACTAAAATTCAAACAAAATAAATTCATTAATTTTAGAAGACATTCTAAAACCTATCTCAATTCATCTTAGAAGATGTAAATGAGACATCTGAAGAGGATATAAAAGGATGTAAAAGTAATATTTAACATGACTGGAAGTTAATCAGTAATGCAAATATAAAAAATTATTTTAATTATTAAACACAGATTTCTACTTTCAATATACAAATACACCGAGGTGAGGAAAACAGGAAACAAAATATTTCATATTCCCTGTCCAAGGTGATTATTTTCCCTCTGCTTGACTCATTTTCACTGAATACATGCAAATTTAATGTAAATCTCAATTCAAAGGAACTATTCTAGGTAAGGAAGATAGGAACAACAGTAGTACATGACTGCCCACTTATAAATTAGGAAAATATCTACTAATAATTTCTAGTAGTATTTACCTTATAATTTGAAAACATTTTGTTGACAGCGAAGTACTTCCTAAAATTATGGTATATGACTAATATATAATAAGTGCAATGTAAATATAAATTTAAAAATCATTCAATTTATGTAATAACCACATTTCCTTCTATTGATCTACAAATAGCTTTCTATTTGAGTTCTTAATACTATTATTCTTAAATCATGACTGCAGTCAAGGCTCTTTTTCACTTTGTTTAACATATTTCCCCACATGTCTTCCAGTAAAAACATCTACATTATTGTACAATGAATCCTATTATCTACACTTTCATTTTATTACTACTAAGCTTTCACTTCTTGAATTTAAAAATGAGAGCATACTTCCTATACGACCAAGAGAATAAGGAATATATTTAACCCTACCCCCAAAAAATAAAATTTACAGTAGGTTCCTGTAGCTTATATATCTTGATAGAATGATTGCATGAATTACAATGGTTAATTAGGAATGCAAATAAGAAATGAAGTCTCAAAGAACAAAAGCTACAGTAAAACTATAAAGTGTACCTCTCTGAATATATATTAGGCATGCCTTATCTTCATCTCTAATACCAGCATCTTATTCCTGGCCTTTTAATTGGTCTCCCATGTCCTTTCTTGTCTCTCCCTTCATTCTATTTTCCATAGAGCAGCCAGAGTGATCTTTATAAAAATACAAATATGATAATACAAAACAAGAGCTTTAAAAACACTTGAATGACTCCTGATCACGCATATCTGGGTCCCTGCTTACTTCCTCATCGTCTGTTTCAATCTCTTCCTTCCTCTTTGGTTCTGTTCTTATCTCAGTGCCTCTGGACAGACTATTTCCTCGGCCAAATTTGCTCACCCTGTCTACTCCCTACAAATTTACCTTCTCTCCTCCACATTCCCCTGACAATTCCCATGTATACTTTTGAGTTTATCTAAAATGTTGGTTCCACACACAGCACCCTGCATTGACCCTCACCCTCTGCCCTACTCCTTCACACTAGGTCTGGAGATATCTGGTTACAGCGTTTAGTTCTATAGCACTTAGAATCTGCAGTTAAATAATTCAATTGATGAGATAAATCAGGGATTTCATCTGTTTTATTCCACTGTGTTTGTTTTATTCACAGTGTTGTTCCCAATGGCTAAATAATATGTTAAACACTGGAGGCACTCAATACATACTGATTTATTGATTTCTCTTTCAGGGTCAGAGCACTGTTAACAGGTGCCTGGAGAATGGCCACATGAACCACCTATAATAGCTGCTTCTTTACTCCTTAAAGTTCTGAAGTAGGACACACATTGATTGAGAAGCTCTTTTTGCCTCTCGAAAACCTAAAACTACTTAATGCTAAAGCCTAAAAAAGGCAATGAACGTCCCAAATACGGGGCTGAGACTAAGATTATACAAATTCCTTCACTGCTTCCATCTATTCTAAGCAGTAAACAGCTTATTATCAGTAACACAAAACACACATCAAAATCAATTAAAGTTTCTGTAAAGAGGCCCTGAACTGGCATACATGTCCTTGATTCAAGTAAAAGATACACCATTTCATTAGTTGGGAAATTCAGCAAGTCATATCACATCCCACGGTTTTTCTCTAGGGACACTCACAGCTTTAAGAATCTATGATTAACCAAATACAACACACACATACACAGGCACAGAGGAACACATGGAAAAGTGATAATGGGTAAATAAAGTATCTGATCAAAGGAGGGAATCATGAATGTATGGCATTTCAACTTCAATCATATAAATCATTCAATATAAGACCAAGGGAAGACCTTTTGATTAAGGTTTTGCTAAGAGTTATTAATGTAGCCTTTGTCCAACTGAGCTATTTCAAATCCTGAAAGATGATGCTGTGAAAGTGCTGCACTCAATATGTCAGCAAACATGGAAAACTCAGCAGTGGCAACAGGACTGGAAAAGGTCAGTTTTCATTCCAATTACAGAGAAAGGCAAATAACAAAGAATGCTCAAACTACGACACAATTACACTCATCTCACATGCTAGTAAAGTAATGCTCAAAATTATCCATGCCAGGCTTCAGCAATACATGAACTGTGAACTTCCAGATGTTCAAACTGGTTTTAAAAGGCAGACGAACCAGAGCTCAAATTGCCAACATCCGCTGGATCATCGAAAAAGCAAGAGAGTTCCAGAAAAACACCTATTTCTGCTTTATTAACTATGCCAAAGCCTTTGACTGTGTGGATCACAATAAACTGTGGAAAATTCTGAAAGAGATGGGAATACCAGACCACCTGACCTGCCTCTTGAGAAACCTATATGCAGGTCAGGGAGCAACAGTTAGAACTGGACATGGAACAACAGACTGGTTCCAAATAGGAAAAGGACTACGTCAAGGCTGTATATTGTCACCCTGCTTATTTAACTTATATTCAGAGTACATTATGAGAAATGCTGGGCTGGAAGTAGCAAAAGCTGGAATCAAGATTGCTGGAAGAAATAACAATAACCTCAGATATGCAGATGACACCACCTTTAAGGCAGAAAGTGAAGAAGAACTAAAAGAGCCTCTTGATGAAAGTGAAAGAGGAGAGTGAAAAAGTTGGCTTAAAACTCAACATTCAGAAAACTAAAATCATGGCATCCGGTCCCATCACTTCATGGCAAAGAGATGGGGAAACAGTGACTGACTTTATTTCTCGGGCTCCAAAATCACTGCAGATGGTGACTGCAGCCATGAAATTAAAAGACGCTTACTCCTTGGAAGAAAAGTTATGACCAACCTAGACAGCATATTAAAAAGCAGAGACATTACTTTGCCAACAAAAGTCTGTCTAGTCAAGGTTTTTCCAGTGGTCATGCATGGATGTGAGAGTTGGACTATAAAGAAAGCTGAGCACCAAAGAATTGATGCTGTTGAACTGTGGTGTTGGAGAAGACTGTTGAGAGTCCCTTGGACTGCAAGGAGATCCAACCAGTCCATCCTAAAGGAAATCAGTCCTGGGTGTTCATTGGAAGGACTGATGTTGAAACTGAAACTCCAATACTTTGGCCACCTGATGTGAAGAGCTGACTCACTGGAAAAGACCCTGATGCTGGGAAAGATTGAGGGCAGGAGGAGAAGGGGAGGACAGAGGAT